ATAATCCCTAGATTAAGCAAACATCTTATTCTTTGATGCAAACATATTGTTTGAGATACAAGACTTGATATGGATACAGAATATTAAACACACCACCAGGCTTATAAAGTGATCAAAGGCAATTTGTCACCTTAATTTAAGGACACATGAATGCATTATTTTATCTTTAAAATTGAACTCTTGTCAGAAGAAAACTTGTGCATGGTGCAGCTGTTCAATTAAGAAATAAAAAGGATGAAAACCATAAATTGTGATTTGATTGAGCTGTTTAGTATATGATTTAAAAGTTTTGACATGACAAACTTGTCTAGACTGCTTTTACATATAGTTCATGTTTATTGATCCAAATGGTTGTTACCAATCATTTTACAACAGGAAGTTTCTATTCAAAGTCAAAAATATTTATATAATCTTTTAAAGGAAAAATATATAGGAAGTAAAATTGATTAAAAAAGAACCTTTCCATATGAGATTGTATTCAGTGAAATACACCCTTATTAGTACATGTAATTTTATGTTTGTTTATGTTGGTTCTTCTGATTAGATAAACTACTTTTTGGTTACACTATCTATTATTGTATCATTCCTCTTCAGTAAAAGTTGACATTTGAACAGTGGAAGTGGTATACGTGCTTGAAATATAAGTTTTATATTTAACAATATTTATTTGTAAACATGATAAGAATAAGATGTGAACATAAATTAAATAGCACTCCAACATCAGTTACACAAGTGAACCAAAATAGATATCTAGACGTCATCCTATGATGATCATCAACAATGGAAGCATCCACACAAATGACCATTCCTTAATTGCCAAGAGCCTAAACATTTAAAATTAATGATTTCATCTATTTTACGGTACTTCAAGAGAAAATTTTTGATTTTCTGAAAATTTCAAATGACTTCAAAGCTTGTCAAAGGTAAAGTAATCCAATTTAGGAGGGTTACCAATGCATGCATGGCTAAGAGGGGTTAGTAAAATCATACTGAAATATCAGTAAAAGTTAAATTAACCTTAGCCATGCATGGCTAACCCTCTTTAGTTTGGTCAGTTTTCATCATACATTTCTTATCAATTTTCCAGAATTCAAAATTATTCCAGATTCCTTGTTTTATAGATATAGTGAGTTCCTAAGCAATCTACTAACATGTAGATCATATTTGTTCAGAAAGTCCTATTCATCTGAATTAAGTGGCACATGAAACCTTTTAACAACAAAATTCACTAAAGAGTTAGTGTTGCAGAGTCATTGACCCCAATTCTATACAACCTAATTTACACCAGACCTATCAAATGCTTGACAGACCCCTATAACTCCTTTGCTGTAAATAAGTCCAGACAAAGATTTACTTGTACACAATATACTTCTGTTAATGTGGTTATAAGGTTACTGAACCAACAGTTTATATATTGTTCTATACAGGAATCAATAGCAGTAACTTGTAGTATCATTTATAAGTGACGGGAAAGTCAACCTTTCACCCTTACCTACTTCTTTGACCAAGATTTACCTTTACCTTCCAGTTACCCTATTCTCAAAAAAATATATGAACATATATTTTCATGTAAGGTTTACAATTGTATGAATATCATCTATAATTTATAGTGACACAAAACACCCCTTTTTTACGAACCAATAATTTCTAAGGTTACTGACCATATAATGACCTAACTGTACAGGAGGATCAATAACCTGGAATCTACTGACCTAACAAATCAATAATTCCTGTAATGGTTACAGAGCATCATAATCATTAGTGTACTGAACAAAGACAAATTCTATCTTTTATAAGGCATTGACTTGTGTTGATCAGCTTTTATGTAGATGGCTTGTTAGCTAATAAATAGCATAGCTTTTAAAAGGACATGTCAATAAAGGAATTTTTTTATTCAGGTTCATGAAAAAATAGGTCATGGGTAGATTTAAACTACTTGTATCACTGAGGTACTCTGATTTGAATTGGGTCAAAGTTATAATGTCTAGTCTAAGTGTATCTGTAGAGTTATGATAGCCAAGTGACATATATAACCCCCTGCTAGATTTATAAGTAGATATTTACTTGTTTTTGTTTTGCTGTATTATTTAAGATTATCTCTAATGTCCTTTAATGAATTGGATGTGGATAGCAGATCTTTGAGAGTCTGTTCAATTTATTCACAACTCCTCTTGACTCTGGACTATATATAGAGCTTGATAATTGCCACTCTTTATCGTTGTTGAAGACAGTCTGACTGTTGACCTCTAAAGTCTTCTTTTGGTGAACCAAGTTTTCTGGTTCTTAATTTGGGGTAGTGCAGTCAACATGCAGGGAGATGACTCCAGCTGTCCTATATAGATATTAATTTGGGATCCATTGTGTTATGGAGCTGGGGAGGGGTCCAGCTGTTTTCCTGTAATAACTTGAGAACTGTTCAGCCAATGCTTTTCAATTTTAATACCCGGGTATGTTGTTCCTGATTACAACATGAGGGTCATTTTGATTTAGATTGATTGGACACTTTATGTTGATTCTGTGTGCTAACTGGAAAGCTTGAGCCAATCCTATTCAAATGTTTATATATTGTTTCAATGACCAAATTGATGTCAAGATCAGTCTTTTTCTTTTTCCTTTAGGAGTTATGGTCCTTGATAACTTTAACAATGACACTTAAATGTAAGAACAATCTGTTTTGCTGTCATTTTGACAGCCCATTGTTTGGTTTGTTCTATTGTTTTGTTTGGTTGCTGTATTGACATATAATCCATATCTCCTTTGATTCATATTTACAATCTATAAAAAAAATTGTAAATTGAAGATTTTCTTTTGCCTTGATGATTTTCTTTAAATCAGCTTTTCAAAATCAATGGTATAATTTTGTGTTGATAAATTGCCAGATGTTATTTTTAATGTGGCATTTACATGAAACCCATTGTTGTTTCCTAATAGGGGTTTTATGTAATTGTTTTGCTCTATCGATCATGTTTTTGGAAAATGGCCTAGTTCTATAAATAATAATGCAAGTAGATTCATTACAAGATTAGTTGTTAAAATGTTTTACTGAAAAATCTTACCTCAAGTTTCATAGAAATATCAAATGATACATTGGTATTCCAATTGGGCTATTGATAATTGAAAAAAAACAAGCAGTTCCTAGTTTCATTTCCTTTTAAGTATTGACTTATTTTGATTGCACTTATAAATGAAAATCAAACTACAGAAAATTAAGTGCAGTTTATGTGACAATATTTTTAAAGTGTTGCTTCCTGGTGTAAATGTCATCAATTGAACAATATTAAAGGTTTCAGTTCAATGGCATCCTAATATCAACAGATACCAACAACTCTTAGATTTTACCTGATTACTTTTTATTTAAACCTGTACAAGTAATCAAATATTATGACATCTGGCCTTATTTTAGAACAGACACTAGATTGCTGGAATTCATGTTTTTTTTTATCCTGACATTAATGAAAATCAAATAACAAACACACATAACATATAGCATACACATACACGTGTGTAAATGTAGTATACCATTATTAGACATACTCCTCTAAATGCTCTAATACTTTTATCATTAATCCATTACACATTACAATACCTTTTTTTCTCAATTATTATGATTAAGGAACAACATTTTTGTTCATTTATGATTTATTCATATAACTAAGGTTATTGAAGAACAATTTTCCAAACTGTGTGAAGAAAAGTTGTATTAGAATATCAGATACATTTTTAGACAAGAAATCTAAAGTATAAAAGCCATATCTGCACTGATAAAGGTTTATTGATTTTATGGTTAAGTATAATGCCACAACTTGTCTGAATCCTTGGTTACAAATTAACACAGATTCTCTTTATGTATGTCCTATATCCATATTACATTTCTTTATAATCATGATCATACAAAGTCATTTAAAGGAAGGCTTATCTTCAGAAAGAAATTAAGTTATTCTGACAAAATGATGAGACAGCATTTGCACCACAGGGCTAAAAAACTCTTTGAGGTGTATTGTAATAAATTCATTGTGATGAACAGAAATTTTGGCAATAAGGTCCTTTACTCATTTTTAAAACTCATACATTTACATAGATCTGAATCAATACACAAATAACAAGAAACAAAGCATCATTATTGACATCAGATATACCTATGAATCATCAAGATATTAAACATCCTTTAACTTTTTTGGTGTCCATCCCAAAGTCTAATTACATCACAACAACAGATATTTGTACTAACTTTATGTACATGTACATTGTTACACATGTTACACATATCACACATGTTACACATATCACACATGTTACCACTGTGATGGTATGCCACTGCAAAACATATGATAGTTAACTGTTTTATGGTCAAGGGACGCAGTGACATTTGATTTTCTTTGACCACGAATATAGTTCTTAGAGTGGGCAGTGTATGACTGGGTATTTTTTTCCAGATACCAGCTTCCAAATTTATTTCTCTATATTTTATCCATAAAATAGTAAGTAGGGGATGAAATTACATGCGAAATTTTTTTAGATTTCAGTAGTGATTTGGTCCAGTTGAAAAAGGCCAAAAACTAGTATGTCTGAAGCTGTCACACTGAAGTATAGACCCCCTTCACATAAAATTGTCCATATTTTGAGTTAGAGCTGGTAGACTTTTCTATAACTTTTCTATAATTTGTCCTAAAAGTCATGAAAGTAGTACACTAAACTGTAAAGGGAAAACGAAGATTCAATTTTTATTGTCTAAAAGAAATGCACTACGAAAGAAATAACTGTTCTTCGGCCTTGTGTACTAACTTAAAGTTTATTGTCATAGTTTGTAGTTGTTCGGCCTTGTGTACTAACTTAAAGTTTATTGTCATAGTTTGTAGTTGTAATCCACTGTCTGTGGTGACAAATCACTACATAAAGTGGCTTTCAAATAAAAAACTATTCATCACCAGTATGGTATATAGTTGCAAACCATATTTCCACTCTGCTGTGTCCTTATTTTTCATATGCATGTATAATTTCAGGTGGGTACGTGCTGACTATCCAGATTTGGATTATGCCTTGGCCAATCATATACTGCAGGATTATGACACCAAAAGGTAATCTATATCATTATATTATCCATTCTAAATGATAGTTTTATTTAATGACATTTACAAATTCATTACATATGCAATACTACTCCCACTATTAGATCAATAACGTATGGTTCATGTTTACTATGAAATACATTATATTGTAAAAAAAAAGTTTTTTTTATCGATTATTTAATTTTACGTCAGACAGTTGATAGTGATAAGTTATTTATGAATGAAATGTTGTTATTATTTATGAGTTCTAAACTATGATGCATATAATGACACAATATGATGCACTTATACATTTAGGTAATGTTTTCAATGTTTGATCTATCCAGCCATATTGATAGGCCTTTGAGACAACAAGTAGATAATAAATATTCTTCTATCATGACACTGACTTGAAAATCAATAGTTATTATATAACATGGAGAGAGACCCTAAAGCTGTGTTAGGAAAGATCATGACAAGTCTGATTATAGGATCCGTACTAAAAGGTTGCATTAGACACAAACCCATAAATGGAATAGAATAGAAACAGAAAATCCAGCAACAGTTGAAACTAAGCAAGATTTTTTACAAGGATTCAAAAAAAAATTGAGCCAGCCATACATTTTTTATACGACCGCAAAAAATTTGCGTTCGTATATTGCTATCATGTCGTCGTCTTCCGAAGACATTTGGTTTCCGGACAATAACTTTAGTATAAGTAAATGGAGCTCTATAAAATTTAATCACAAGGTTCATTAGCACTTTTGGAAGGTTGGGATTGATTTTGGGGGTTATGGTCCGAACTGTTTAGGAATTGGGGGTAAAAAAGGTGCCTAAAAATGTATTTTTCTAGTTTCCGGACAATAACTTGTGTATTAGTGTATGGATCTCTATGAAATTGTACCACAAGGTTCCATACCACAAAGTGAAGGTTGGGGTCAATTTTGTGGGTTGTGGCTTTAATCGTTAAGAAACTAGAGGCCAAAAACAAAACTTTTCTAATACTGGCTATGCTGGTTCTAACATAAATTTTTTCTGATCTGTATATAAAGAAACAGCAAATACTGATATGGCAGGAGATACACACTAAACAGGGTGTGTAAATCATTATATTTAGTTTGTAAACAGATCTACTAAATATTGCACAACAGCAAGAAATCTTCGATTGAAAATAAATACAAATCTTTTAACCAATTTCAATGAGGATTAATTTAAAGTCTTGAATTATTTGAGGTTTTTACCATGTATTACTATATTGGATATTTGGTCATTTTTAAATAGGACTACATTGAGGTCCAAAGTGTCCAAAATTAGACTGTTTGATTTCACCAAAAACTGAATTCTTGTGGTTCTATGATATGCTGAATCTAACTGTGCATTCAGATTTTTAATTTTGGGCCCTGTTTTCAAATTAGTCCATATTAAAGTCCAAAGGGTCCAAAATTAAGTTCATTCATTGTTTGAATTCATGGTTTTTTTTTTTTATATGCTGAATCTAACTATGGAATTAGATTTTGGATATTGGGACCATTAAGTAAATTAAATACCCCATTTCAAATTTTAAAGTTATCTGACCACATTTATTCTGTGTCAGAAATCTATAATGTGTCAAATATTTAATCACTATTCATATTCAGAGCTGTATCATTCAAGCTTGAATATTGTGTCCATACTTGCCCCAACTGTTCAGAGTTTGACCTGTGCAGTCGTATCCAGCTGCTCCAGCATTTTTTTTATCATGTTTTTAATCTTTAGACTTAGTAACATCAGACATTCCATTACATTCAAGTCAATCAATTTGAAATGATACTCTCAATATTGTATCAGATGGTGTTTAGGAAACTCTATTATTGTTCAATTGTAAGTAATTAACCGTTTATGTATTTATATGTTGCATTTTTTTTTTTAAGTTATGAAAGCATGAAGAACTTGTGTGATAAGTACAACAGAACAATAGACAGCTTCAAAAATCTGGTAAGTGCTGCTGGTAAAGTTAAAAATCGCCCTGTAGTACATGTGTAGGTGTCAGACCACCAATTCACCCACTCCAATTTAGAACATATATAAAAGTAGCCCTTCCCTGTCAAAAAATAGTGCATTTGATGTCATTGTTTACTGAAACTAACCAACACATTTGCAGAAATGAAACTTTTGGTGAAAGATAAATCAAGACCATTTTGAGTCAAAATTTACATGTCCATAAGTTTGCATTAAAAATTTGAGGATAAATGCCCACTATAGTATACTTATTTAAGATTTCTAGAAAACCTGGGGTTATTTTTAGTACTAGTTCTCTTCTGAACGGTGGTGTTTTATTACAAGACTTTTACATTGGTTGAAAATTGGCATGTAGAAATGTGAAACATACAATTCAGGATATATCTGGTTTTTATGAAGTTTAACTTGAGGTGAAATATTTAGAAAGCTACATGAAAATTGAAAAAAAATGGTTCAATAGATGGGATTTTGAATTGTTGGTCTGACAACTGTATGCCCATAATTGTTGGTCTAATGTAGCATTATGACACCTTATGAATGCTTCTCCTCTGAGACCATATGTCTGAAGCCTTCATGCATAGTGAGATTGTTGGTCATTATGTGTTGTTGTCCAAACTTTGTAGGAGTTATGGGCCTCTTGTAGCACTACTTCAGCGATTTTTTGCCCTCTGTAGCATAATGACACCATGTGAACTCCTCTACAAAGAGACATTTTGGCCGAAAGCGTTCATGCTTATTAGGAGTGTTTATCATCATGTATAGTGGACCATACTATACTCCATTTTGCCATCTTTGCATGGGATGTAGGGCTTTGACCAATAATGTAATGTTTGTAGAGATTGTTCCACGACATATTCTTGAGACTATATATTTCACTGTTATAAAGTTGCTTGGGCCATTTTTCCATGGCATAACAATCTTTAATGGGTTGCACAAACGTCAATTAACATGAAATGACATTTTCATTTACACTGTACTGATTAAATCTGTTGTATTTGTTAAAGATGAAATTACTTCTTGAATTTAAAAATTCAGAGATGTTAAATATTAATTATAGTGCACGCTACCCAGCCCTTAAGTTTATTTACCTGTTCAAACAGTTAATATTAAGACTGAAATTTTAACTCCTTTTTATTTTTTGTATTAGTGGAAAGGAGCCTCTAGACCTAAGAAACAAAGTGACAAAGCATCTTCAGGGCTACTCAAACACATTCTACAACAGTGTTATAATATATCAGTAGAAGATCCAGAAAGATTGAACCAGTATGAACCATTCTCTCCAGAGGTAACATACCTTTTAGTGCTTCCAAAATTATTATTTTATAAAGTGTTGTATATACCAAGATTATATTGTTTCATAGACACAATCAGTTCCTGTGTAGGATTGTAAATCAGATGTCAATTTGTTGACTTGTTATTTAACTTTCATGCACAAAAATTATTCTTTTTTAATTATATGATTTCATTTATTTTCTATATGTAAAATTGAGTTGTGACAAATTAACTTATTAATGTTCCTTCTGAACATGTTCAACACAGATTTATTGGGTTAAAACCTGCACAAGGTCTTTCCTCAAGTAAAAGCATTGAATAACATATTTTTTACGCATAGATTTATTGACTGGAAATATTCTGTTATGTTCAGGTGTATGGAGAGACATCATATGAACTTGTTGATCAGATGATAAAATCAGTCAATTTTACTGAAGATGATTACTTTATTGATCTTGGAAGTGGTAAGTTAGTAGTATTGAAGCTTAAGATTTGTTTTGACCTTAAAAGTGGTAAGTGTTTAGGACTAACTCTGAAAGATTTGTTTTGATCTTAGAAATGGTAAGTTGGAAGAACTGAATCTAAGTACAAGTATTAATCTTTCAAGTGAAAAGTACAAATGACTGAAGCTTGATATTTGTACTAATCTTAGAATTGACAAGTGCAAAGGACTGAAACTTAAGATGTGTATTGATCTATGAAGTGTTAAGTGCAAAGGACTGAAACCTTAACTTTATGATGATCTTGGAAGTGCTAAGTGCAAAGGACTGAAACCTAAACTTTATATTGATCTTGGAAGTGCTAAGTGCAAAGGACTGAAACCTAAACTTTATGATGATCTTGGAAGTGCTAAGTGCAAAGGACTGAAACCTAAACTTTATATTGATCTTGGAAGTGCTAAGTGCAATGAACTGATTCTAAAAATTTGCATTGATCTTTTATGTGTTTAGGCCAAAAGGTCGTATTGATCTAGGGAGTACTGAAGCTTAAGATTTGTTTTGATCTTGAAAGTGTTAAGTGCAAAGGACTAAGACCTAAATCTTGTAATGATTTTGAAAGTGGTAAGTTCAAAAAACTGAAGCTTAAAATTTTATATTTATCTTGGAAGTTGTGTTTTAGGTGGTAAGTTCAAAGGTTTGTTTTGATCTTGTAAATGGTAAGTGCAAAGGAATGAAAAAAATTGCATTGATCTTATATATGGTAAGTTCAAAGGTTTGTATTGATTAAGGAAGTGGTAAGTGCAAAGAAATAAAGCAGAAGATTTGTAATGATTTATCAAGTGCAAAGGACAGAAACTTTTAAAGATTTGAGTTGATCTTGGAAGTTGTGTTTAGGAGTGAATCTAAAAAAAACGTTAATTATGTTTTATGGTAAGTTCAAAGGTTTGTATGGATTTTTTTAAGTGGTAAGTGCAAAGGACTGAAGATTTAAGATTTATATTGATAAAGGAGGGAGTCAGTGCAGAGGATTGAATATAACAATTTTGTATTTATCTTTGAAGTGGTATATGCAAAGGACTCAAGCTAAAGATTTGTATTGATCTTGGAAATGGCAAGTCTTGAGGACTGAAGCATAAGATTTGTATTGATCTTGGAAATGGCAATTCTTGAGCATTGATGCATAAGATTTGTATTGATCTTGGAAATGGCAAGTCCTGAGGACTGAAGCATAAGATTTGAATTGATGTTGGAAATGGCAAGTCTTGAGGACTGAATCATAAGATTTGTATTGCATGTATTGATCTTGGAGATGTCAAGTGCTGAGGACTGAAGCATAAGATTTGTATTGATCTTGGAAATGGCGTCTTGAGGACTAATGCATAAGATTTGTATTGATCTTGGAAATGGCAAGTCCTGAGGAGTTAAGCATAAGATTTGTATTGATCTTGGAAATGGCATGTCTTGAGGACTGAAGCATAAGATTTGTTATGTCATATCTTAGAAAAAAGTAAAATAACAAATTACCGAAATTCTAATGAAAATTCAAAACGAAAGTCCCTTAACAAAGTCAAAAATGGCAAAATCAAAAGCTCGAACACTTCAAACGAATGGAAAACATCTGTCATATTTCTGACTTGGTACAGGCATTTCTTTATGTAGAAAATGGTTGATTAAACCTGGTTTTATAGCTAGCTTAACTTCTCACTTGTATGACAGTCACATAGAATTCCATTATATTGTTAACAATGTATGAGCAAAACAAACAGATATAATAGGTAAAAAATGTCATATATTGGGGTGCAGCAGTCAGCATTGTGTTTTAATGTTAATCACTATAAAAACAAACAATTATTTAAACAAAGAAAAACAAAATGGCATATAGACACTGTATAGACAAAGCACAGAAGTAAAATTGAAAGACGAGAAGTGGTAAGTGTGCAGGACTTGAGCTTAAGATTTGTCATGATCTTGGATGTGGTAAGTGTGCAGGCTTAAGATTTGTTTTGATCTTAGAAGTGATAAGTGTGTAGGACTTGAGCTTAAGATTTGTTTTGATCTTAAAATTGGTTAGTGTATAGGACTTAAGCTTAAGATTTATATTGATCTTGGAAGTGGTAAGTGTGTAGGACTTAAGCTTAAGATTTGTTTTGATCTTAGAAGTGGTAAGTGTGTAGGACTTGAGCTTTATATTTGTTTTGATCTGAAGAGTGCTAAGTGCAAAGGACTGTATCTTAAAGATTTGTATTGATCATTGAAGTGGTAAGTGAGGAATAAAGCAAACAATTTTGAGATATTGGAAGTGATAAGTAGGGAGGACTAAATCTGAAGATATATATTGATCTTGTAAATGGTAAGGGAGTAGGACTGCAGATTAAGAACATTCAATTATGTTGCATTTCTATCTTTACTGACAGCTTTTTCATCATCTGATGTAAAATTCTATTGATTTGTAATTACTGTGGATTCTTTATTATTTCTTTAATACTAATTTTCTTAAGTAAAAATAACATCACTGTCCGGGGTTAGGGAGAAGGATGAGATGCTTACAAACATTGTCCACCTCACCATATTCTTTATGTGCCTGTCCCAAGTCAGAATCCCACATACAGAATGTGTGGGGGAGGGGTTAAACATTTTTGTGGGCATACAAACCTCCCCTAACCTTGGACAGTGATGTTACAGCACAACATAATAACAGCCTATTAAAATCAGTTGAAAAGGGCTTCAGGTTATTGTGAATTGAACTTGCCCAGTACAGTATGTATGTTATGATATGAATGTAAGGAGATATAGGGTAAACATCAATGAGACAACAAGCAACAAAAATCAAATAAAAACATCCAGAAATCATAGTGTTTGTTGAATCACCCTTTAGAGGAGTTATTTTACCCTTTAGAGAAGTTATTGCCCTTGAAAGATGATATTTACCATTTTTTTCAGAAACTATAATAGATAGAGAGTGACATTAAAAGGCAAAAATGTTCAACACAATAAGATTTGCAAATATGTCAACATGGCTGCCAAAATTGTCAACTGCCTCCTTAAAGGAATTATGTCCACTGAGTGATTATTTTCACCCATTTTTTTTGGGCGTTTTCATCAAAAATAATAAACTTTAAAAAGCAAAATAGATCAGCAAAATGAGATCTACAAGTAAGTCAGCATGACCAAATTATTAAAATCCTTTGAGGATTTATTGCCCTTTATTGGACAATTTTTATACAACCGCAAAAATTTTTTTGCATTGTATAATCTATGGTGTCGTCGTCCATAGACACATTTGGTTTCCAGACAATAACTTTAGTTTAAGTGAATGGATCTCTTAGAAATTTTACCAGAAGGTTCAATACCACAAAATGAAGGTTGGGATTGATTTTGGGGGTTATGGTACCAACAGTTTAGGAATTAGGGGCCAAAAAGAAGCATTTTTGTAGTTTCTGGACAATAACTTGTGTGTTAGTGTATAGATCTTTCAGAAATTGTACCACAAGGTTCCATATCACAAAGGGAAGGCTGGGATTGAGTTTGGGGGTAATTGCCCCAATGGTCCAGGATCTATGGGGAAAAAAAGGGGCAAAAAACAAGCATTTTTCTAGTTTCCAGACAGTATTGTGTTTAGTGTATGGATCTCTCTAAAATTGTACTACAAGGTTCCATGCCACAAAGGGAAGGCTGGAATTAATTTGGGGGTAATTACTCCAAGGGGGAGGGGGTTCAAAAAGTTTGGGGGGATTTTTTTTTCCAATTTATTTAGGGGGTTCATATTTTTTTCTTCAAAAATTTTAAAATTTCAAATGATTGCACAGTATTGCGCAATAGCACAGTATTGGGCAATAGCAAGAAATCTTCAATTGCACAGTATTATGCAATAGCACAGTATTGCGCAATAGCAAGAAATCATCAATTGCACAGTATTGCGCAATAGCAAGAAATCTTCAATTATACAGTATTGCGCAATAGCAAGAAATCTTCAATTGGCCAGTATTGCACAATAGCAAGAAATCTTAAAATTGCACAGTATTGCGCAATAGCAAGAAATCTTCAATTGAAAACAAATACAAATTTTTTAACCAATTTCAATGGGATTAATTTAAAGTCTTTAATTTTTGGGGGTTCTAACCCTTGTATTACTTTTTTGGAAATTGGGCCCCATTTTTAAATTGGTCTACATTGAGGTCAAAAGAGTCCAAAATTAAACTTTGTTTGATTTCATCAAAACTTGAATTATTGCGGCTGTATGATCTGCTGAATCTTATTGTGCATTTAGATTTTTTATTTTGGGCCCTGTTTTCAAATTAGTCCATATTAAGGTTTGAAGGGTCTAAAATTAAAGTTTGTTTGATTTCAACTAAAATTAAATTTTTGGTGTTTTTTATATGCTGAATCAAACCATGTGGTTAGATTTTGGATATCCGACCATTCTAGGTAAATTAAATGTCCCATTTCAAATTTTTAAGATCTTTGACCACATTTATTTTGTGTCAGAAACCTATATTATGTCAAAAATTTGATCACAATCCAGATTCAGACAGTATCAAGTCCAAACTTGCCCCAACTGTTCAGGGTTCGACCTCTGCGGTCGTATCTGGCTGCGCTCAGCGAAGCATTTAATTTTTTAATGATTTCTATAATTTTGCCAATTATTTCAAATACTTAATTAAGTATAAGCTGTAATTGGTTAAAACGATCATCAATACCAGATCTCATAAAATGTCATCAATTTAGATTCACAAATAAGCAAACATAACTGATTACAATACAAGTAAAATAAATATCGGTATGGCATTTGTTTACTAGGTGAACGATTCAGGTTCTTGGGATCCTGTTTGTTGTCATATTGAAAACTATGGATGATTTTATTAACACAACTTGTCTTAGTATTTAAGAATACTTCTGCAAAGCATTAATTTTTTTTTTTTGTCAAACAACAATTTAGAACAAACCATTGAAGAATTTTAAAGTAAATTTGTAATTAAAAAAAGTATTTTCAGCAGAGAAGTAAGTCTGTTTACATTTCTGCATAACTTATAATTTCAATAGATACCATAAATAGACAAGTCAGAAAGATTTTTGATTTATTTCGGAGTTCCATTACAGAGAAATTAATATCAGTTAGTTCCATTTTTTTTCTCTATTTTTCAGCCTCCAATTGTAGCCATTACTGGTGACCTCACCTAGTTTTGAGAATGGTTATCCTGAGTTATTTATATAAATAGCCGTATGTGTAACTAAATGCAGCAATAAATATTGGTGTATAGTTGTCATAGGTTATTATTACGAGATAATAAAGAAAAAAACATCAATTGTGTAATTTTTGGCCGGTTGGACAAAGTCTTATAGTATGAGATGGGTGGGCAGGCAGGTGGGAAAAAGTTGGCACATAATTTGTGTGATCACTTCTACAGTTTTCAACCCAGATTCCTGAAACTTCACAGGAAAATTGCACATATGATGAAGTTGTGCACATGCTATTATGGAGATGTTTGAGGAGTTTTTTCTTATTATGCCCCCGCCGTAGTGGAGGGGGCATTAAGTTTTACCCTTGTTCGTCTGTACGTACGTCTGACGTACGTCCCATAGTTTGTTTCCGTTCTGTAACTTTAGTTTGCCTCAACCAAATGTTATGAAACTTATACACAATGCTTATTATCACAAAACACAGATCAAGTTTGAATTTTGGTGGCATCACTTTAACCATTCTAGAGTTATGCCCCTTTACAAATGGAAAAATTGCTGAATTTTTCGTTTCCGTTCTCTAACTTTAGTTTGCCTCAACCAAATTTTATGAAACTAATACACAATACTTATTACTACAAAACTCAGATAAAGTACAAATTTTGGAAGCGTCACTTTTACTGTTCTTCAGTTATGTCCCTTTATAACTTAATATGATATGCAAGCGGGGGCATCATCTGTGTCCCATGGACACATTCCTCATTTATTTTTCCTAACTTGGGAACTAATTCATTTTCAGCAAAATTTATTCACAAATATTGTAAGCTGGCCATTTCAGACTTTGATTTATTTTTTAATGGTCCTACATGAATGATTATTGAAAATATTCCTTTTTTTTATCCTTCACATTTATTTATCACAGCTAAATTTCATACCATCAAACTAATAATCATTTATTTTCTTCCATTTAATTAAGTGTAACTTAATCTCAAGAAATGTATTCAGGATCAACAACCTTGATGATCCTATTTGAATTTAAAGCTTCAATTTTAAACTATGGTTGCACAACACACAGTATAGAAACAAATATCAAAATATGCTTCCTGACTTCGCTGTCATTCTGCCTGTCATTTCATTGCAAAATCAGTTTTAAAAATACTGGAAAAAAAATGACATGAGGCATGGTTGGGCAAGACCCAAGTGATGCCTCAAGGAATCATTAGGGATGAAAGTGTAAATAAGATGAATTAAAGATTGTTGATCTTGTTTTTGAAATTTGAAAATTAGGGCCATTAGAAAATTTTGCCGCAAACCCCTACTTTTCTTTTCATAATTTTATTACATATAGTTTATAAAAATCTTATAAAGTCCCTGATATTTATTCTTTAAGTTTTTAAAAGAAAAATGTTGACAATGTTAAATATATAAAAAAGAGAATCATTTCCCACCAAATTTTCAATGGCTTATATATATATCTCTAAAACAAGGACATAGACCTTTCATTTTTTTCTGCCTTTTTAGTACTGTTATTTATATACTTTCAATTTACAACAGTCTTTTAAAAAGTTTAACATGGCAGGTGTGCTCGCCTCCAATCTTTATTGACCAGGATTGTCAGTTTTCTTACCAAAGGTCATGATTCTCTCAGGATACTCATGCTTCCTCCACCAATAAAAACTGACTGCTACGAAATAGCACAATAGTGCTGAAAGTGGCATTAAACACAAATCAATCAATCAATTTAAAAAGCTTAATTTTTTTTTAACAGAGCAATGAACAACCTTAAAGCTTCCTGAATAAGGCTTCTGTCATCAAGCTGAGATGGGCAAACTATATTCTGAAATAAATTTCTATTTTAGGTGTTGGTCAGGTAGTTTTACAAGTAGCAGCATCAACACCTTGTAAAATGTGTTATGGTATTGAGAAAGCAGAATTTCCAGCAAAGTATGCAATGGTTAGTATGTTTATATAAGTCAAATTATTTAATATAAGTTGAAAAATATATACATTTTTAGCTTATTATACCCTGCTCCAAAGGTAGGATATACTGGTTTACATCTGTCTGATTTTCTGCATGTCATTTGAACTTATGGTTGCTAATTTTTCTCAGAAACTACAAATCAGTGGTTCCTGAAATTTAGTATCAAGCTTCATTTGAGCATTCCATAAATTTTTCGTCATATTTTCTGAGTAGCTACAAATGAAGGTTTCTGAAATTTGAATTAAAGCTCCATGTGATCATGCATTACCATGTGATGGGTTTTCTCATTCATCACTCATCAACTTCATGTAAGCCAGGATATCATTTGTAACCCATATCTCACATTTGAACTTGTTAATTATGCATAATGATCCCAATTTTTTGTCTCGCCTTGACAGCGTCAAATAGCTAAACATAGGTATGCTGTTTTTATACGGCCGCAAAAAAAAATTTTTGTGGTCGTATATTGGTATGACGTCGGCGTCGTCGTCCGAAGACGCATTAGTTTTCGCACTCTAACTTTAGTTTAAGTGAATGGATCTCTTTGAAATTTTACCATAAGGTTCAATACCACAAAAGGAAGGTGGGGATTGATTTTGGGGGTTATGGTACCAACAGTTAAGGAATTAGGGGCCAAAAATAAGCATTTTCTAGATTCCAGACAATAACTGTGGAACAGTGTATGGATCTCTCTGAAATTATACTACAAGTTTCCATACCACAAAGGGATGGTTAGGATTTGCTTTGGGGGGTTATTGCTCAAACCGTTTAAGAATTAGGGGCAAAAAAGGGGGAAAAACAAGGTTGTCCTCATTAATGGACAAATACTTTACCTTCGAAACTCGCCTAATAGTCGATCCTACTATAAGTCGGGGGCCCTTTTCAGCTCCAAATTCTAAGGATTTAGTCTTGACCCTCGTATAAGTCGGACAAAATTTGGGCATTTTTTTTTCAGCTGACAGTAACTGAACGCCGGTAAAACCAATGCAAATCCAGGAATAATATTCATTTCTGCATTAATGTTTGTTTGGTTTGAATTTAGTTGATGCTCATCATGATAATTTATATTGCTGTTAATAATAAAGATGTATTCATTTCTCTTGTTTTGTTCACTGTTCAAATGTTAGATAAGCCATGTGTTGTTTACGTAATGCATCAATGATTTTGTAGGGTATGACTAACAACCTATTGTTTGAGAAAAGCGAATATAAACCAATATGAACCTGAAAAATTTAAAGACAATCAACACTTGATGAAAATATTTTTCACAGCATACATAACTCGGTGTTAAATGAGCATGTACACTTCATAATTCTTATTATATTGTGATGATTAAAGGATTAAAAAAATTAAGTGAAGCTAATCAATATATTAAAATAACTAACTCCAACTCATTAGTGTCATCTGTTTACCTATCACTGATAGTTTTCACACCTTTAGTAAATACAACTCTTTGTCTCTTAATTGGGGTTATCAATGGATTATATTGGCTTGTCAATCAATTTTGTAATTTTTGTTTACCTGAGACACTTAAATGAATAATATTTTGATTTTGGGAATGAATCTTAAAATTATTTTTTGATTATTATATGATTTATAAGCATTGAATTGATATCATGATATCACAATAATGACACAATAACTCCGCTGAAAACATCCTTTCACATATTTGGTACATTGTTATCTCCTTTTCATTTTTGGTTCTTGGCTCTTCTTTTGGGTTTATAGGAAAACCATGTGACCATGAAAATCAATACACAAACCGGAAACAGTAGAATTTCAACACGAATTTGCAGAAAATGTTTAACAAAGAACAAATAAAACACAAAGACAGTATTGTAGTCATTTATTTTCAACAAAAACTTTTTATTTATTGATTTATGTAGGTTTGGCAATCAAAAACGTAGTTTTGAATAGGAAATTCACTCCTGACCACTTTTCTCAAGCTTGGATTTTTCCTCTGGTCGCTAGAACTCGTCTATTAGTCGGTCCCCCTCTCTGGATTATGAATTTTACTCCCAATTTTCCGACTAATAAGCGAGTAGGAACGGTAGTACAAAACATAATTTAAAGCAGTGTAAGGGAGATAAATCAAATACATTATTGAAATTATCTCCCTTGCACTGCTTTTAAATTATGTATTAAGTAATGGTTAATGAACAATTAAGATAATTTAAAACAGTTTAAGGGAGGTAATCCAAATACAACATTTTGGTTACTTCCCTTACACTGCTTTTAAATTATGTTTAAAGAAATGCATATTTATAAAGGAAGACCAGTATGGCGCATTAGATTTGTAAAATCTTTGACCACATTTATTTATTTGTTATGCCGAATCTAACCGTGTATTTAGATTTTTAATTTTGGGTCCAGTTTTCAAATTGGTCTACATTAAGGTCCAAAGGGTCCAAAATTAAACTTTGTTTGATTTTAACAAAAATTGAATATATGGGGTTCTTTGATATGCTGAATCTAAACATGTATTTAGATTTTAGATTTTTGGCCCAGTTTTCAAGTTGGTCCAAATTGGGGTCCAAAATTAAACTTTGTTTGATTTCAAAAAAAATTGAATATATGGGGTTCTTTGATATGCTGCATCTTACCATGTATTTAGATTTTTTATTTGTGGACCCCGCTATCAAATTGGTTCATATTGAGGTCAAAAGGGTCCAAAATTAAACTTTGTTTGATTTCATCAAAAATTGAATTATTGGGGTTCTTTGATATGCCAAATCTAACCGTGTATTTAGATTTTTAATTTTGGGTCCCGTTTTTTAAATTGGTCTACATTAAGGTCCAAAGGGTCCAAAATTAAACTTAGTTTGATTTTAACAAAAATTGAATTCTTGGGGTTCTTTGATATGCTGAATCTAAACATGTGTTTAGTTTTTTTATTATGGGCCCAGTTTTCAAGTTGGTCCAAGTTGGGGTTGAATTTTTGGGGTTCTTTGATATGCTGAATCTAAACATGTTTTTAGATTTTTGATTATGGGACCAGTTTTCAAGTTTGTCCAAGTTGGGGTCCAAAATTAAACTTTGTTTGATTTCAACAAAAATTGAATATATGGGGTTCTTTGATATGCTGAATCTAAACATGTATTTAGATTTTAGATTTTTGGCCCAGTTTTCAAGTTGGTCCAAATTGGGGTCCAAAATTAAACTTTGTTTGATTTCAACAAAAATTGAATATATGGGGTTCTTTGATATGCTGAATCTTACCATGTATTTAGATTTTTTATTTGTGGGCCGGCTATCAAATTGGTTCATATTGAGGTCAAAAGGGTCCAAAATTAAACTTTGTTTGATTTCATCAAAAATTGAATTATTGGGGTTCTTTGATATGCCAAATCTAACCGTGTTTTTAGATTTTTAATTTTGGGTCCTGTTTTTTTTAATTGGTCTACATTAAGGTCCAAAGGGTCCAAAATTAAACTTAGTTTGATTTTAACAAAAAATGAATTCTTGGGGTACTTTGATATGCTGAATCTAAACATAGGTTTAGATTTTTGATTATGGGACCAGTTTTCTAGTTTGTCCAAGTTGGGGTCCAAAATTAAACTTTGTTTGATTTCAACAAAAATTGAATATATGGGGTTCTTTGATATGCTGAATCTAACCATGTATTTTGATTTTGGACATTGGACCATAATAGGTAAATTAAAAAAATTGAAGTTCTAAGACCACATTCTTTCTGTGTCAGAAACCTATGCTGTGTCAAATATTTAATCACAATCCAAATTCAGAGCTGTATCAAGCTTGAATGTTGTGTCCATACTTGCCCCAACTGTTCAGGGTTCGACCTCTGCGGTCGTATCAAGCTGCGCCCAGCGAAGCATTTTATTGGCAGCTGCAGTGTCATCAATGTATTAGTTTGTGATAAGGTCTAGTTTATGGTGAACCACTAGTGGTAGGTCAATGATACTTGGTACGCAGTTGTATAAGCATTGGCATATCTCATTTCCATGGAGATTATTTGGCCCTGCCCCCTCAATCATGGTCTATTGACTTTGAATCTTTTGCTTAGTTTACATATATTGGTTTGTGATTTGGTCAGTTTAAGATGAACCACTAATGTTAAGTTGAAGTTAATTTATGCAAATGTAGTTTCATTTCCATGGAGATTATGTAGCCTCATCCCCTCATCATGGTTCATTGACTTTCACATAGTTTACAAGTTAATGTTTGTGTTTAGGTTTGTTTAAAGGGAGCAAGTCAATGGTATTTGGTATGCAGTTGTAATAGCATTGGCACATCTCATTTCCATGGAGATTGTTTAGCCCTGTACCTTCAGTCATGGTTCATTCACTTTGAATATTTGCATAACTTATATGTTTAAGTATTGCTATTTTAAATTTTAACATTTGCATTATCAAAATAACAAATAGGCAAGACATATCTCTGTGTTAACAGTTTATTTGTAACAAAACTTGCCTTTTTAGACTATGGAAAAAGAGTGCATAAAGTGGATGAAATGGTATGGTAAGAAACATGGTGACTTTCTTATACAGAAAGGAGATTTCCTGGAAGAAGATGTTAAAGAAAAAATTAATAATGCAACGTATGTTTATGGTTATGAAATTATACCTCAGTAACATAGAGTAAATTAAACTGTTTTGATAGTTAATTTTAAGATTTCAAAAATAATAAGTGTTATTCTGACCACTATACACAAAATAAGACACACTAGATATATATTCTAAAGTAGGGTACATGCAGTTTATATCAAAAGTTATCCCATAATTTAATTTTCCACTGATGCAGAATATTGAATTTTGAGCTGATGATATTTCGAAAAAAATCTTGCTTACAAATGTGAAGCAATGAGTAAAGTTTACAATTTAGTATACTGACAGACACAGATGCATTGGAAAATGTAATTCTGTTATATTAAGTATATAATCATGACATCAAATATGTGTATGGTTACAAGATTATACTGCAAATAAGCACAGGAAGGTCTTAATGAGTGATATTATTATGTTTTAGTGTTATTTTTGTAAACAACTTTGCCTTTGGACCTCAAGTAGATCATCAGGTGAGAATGATTAAAATGTTTATATAAATTCCATCATCTTACTTTCTTGGTTACAATTATATTTTTGGTTTTTCTGTATATAATATCTTCGGGTAGATTTTTTGTCTTAATTTATTAATAAAAAAATATGTATTTGTTTTCTTTGTGTACTCAAAGTCTGTAACAGAGTTAAAGTTGTGAAGTTTAATTGACCTTACAAGAAGAATCACATGATTCACAATTTTATCAATTAATTAATATTGATAATTAGAAAATAAGTTGCAAATTAGAAATTTCTAAAGCTAATTGCTATTGACAAAGGTACATTTTATAAATATTAATTAATCTAATGGTAGAAAATTATATTTGGACTTCAATTGAATGTTTTTTTTATTACAGTTGAAGTTAAGATTTGCCAACATGAAGGAAGGAGCTAAGATAGTATCATCTAAAGCATTCTGTCCTCTCAATTTCCGTATCACAGATAGAAATCTTAGTGGTAGGTTTTTCTTAGTAGGACAGTGATTTTCTAAATTGGTAAAAATTATCTTAAGATATTGGAATACTATTTTAATTCTCCATTTATATCAGAGAAAACTGTATTTCATTAAAAAGCATCTACTTTCTTCTCATCCAATCATCTGAAAGCAAATTAAGTTTTCTGAGGATAAGTATAGAAGTCACATCAATATCTGCTGGGCTTTTTTTATATGTTTGAAATAAGTAAATTATGACAAATTGAGAAAAATTGTCACTTGCATGATCTGTGGCAGTCATTTCTGGAAAATGGAATGTTTGAAATATATATTCAGCCTGTAAATTACTACTTAAACTTTGAAATTTTATCAAGTAAGCAGATATTGATTTGAATCAAAATTAACAGACAGTGGTTTTGGGTTGAAATTTATTAATAATCAGGAGCAACATTTTGTTACTAGGAAATGATGTAGGGGAGATAATTATTTGCTAAATTAAAAAAAAAAAATTTTGAACACAATTCTGGGAAAGGCTTCATGCTAGTTTGGAAAATTATAGCAGACTGCATAAAATTTATTGACAATGGAAAAAGATGCTTCTAATGAAATTAGGGGCACAGGACGTTTGCACTTTTTTACCTGTAACACGATAGGACATTTGTGCTCCAAACACTGGACATTTGTGCTTTAATTTTTGATACACGTGTATTAAATTGACCGGACATTAGCATTTTTTACCTACAGTCGTCTACCTGATATTTTAAGGATTTGTAATCATAACGTAAATAAATTCAACTTATATTTGAGGTTAGTGAGTTTACACTGACACAGTCTTAAAAATAGAGTTCTAGACTAGTAAAGGGAAAAAAAATGTTTATGTTACGATGGATTTTTATCATTGAACAGCAGTCGGTTAATTACACTAAAATTTGTTATAATGATGAACAGGAACCTCAGTAAAGAATTGAGAAAGAGAAACTAGAATATTTACTTGAAATGTGGGTGAAATACCAGTTAGGACAGATAACAAGAGCTAAATTTGTTCAATCCCTGAGCTTTAGATATCAAGCAAAAACTGACCTGTGATGACTATGCATGTCTTTATGTCTTTATAATGTTTACAATAGCTATATATAACTATATTGATGTGCTATGCAAAGACTTTGAAACATGAATGTGTTATGAAATGACTATTAAACTTTAAACCATAATGATGACTATTATGACTGTAACTCTACAGGTCAAAGCAACCGGACCTAAGCCCTTTTAAATGGGAGGGAAGTCATATGAAGCAAATATTGTACAAGCGCAAATGTCCTACATGTATATAAAAAGGGCAAATGTCCTATGAAAAAGCGCAAACGTCCTGTGCCGGAACTTAGTATAATAATATATACAGTGATTATATAGCACCAACCATTTATAAAAAAGGTTTTGTTCATCTTATGTATCTGTTGAAGAAGAAAAATTCACTTGCATTTCTAATGTCAAAAAAGAATTATTTATTTTTGTGCTTATATGAGAGAGAGAAAAAAACTCTACTCAAAAATAAAATGGTTGGTGACAATGATACTTGGAAAATCTGATAAAAACGTATTTATCAACAACAAAAAATAATGAAAATAATAGATTTACAATACATTTTGACTTCAGATGTTAATGTTCATCATATTTATTATGGGTTGACCTGTTTGTCTGTCACCAGTTATGCAAATTTTCCATTGCTATTCACACACCATTTTATTAATATACTTTTTTTTCATTTCAGTAGTAAAATTTTTGTGAGGATTTACTTTATCAACCAAATCTTGCTAAAAGCACACAGACTACTGTTTATTTATTTTTTAGATGTCTGTCCCTGTACTATTAATTTCACCATGATATCTATTTTACTGGATATGAAAAATTTAGAAATTTTCATTTAAGGCATAGGAAATTTATTTATGCTGTTAACGTTTAAAAACCTGCTTTGTAAATGTTGTATGATGAACAATATTTCTTTGCATGATGATTTTAAATGTAGACTAGTCATCATACATGTACATGCTCTAATAAGGAAGCTCATTTTATCAGCCAAATAGTATTTTCCATTTCTTTTTTCATAGACATGTATGAGTTCTGATAAATATTTTAGCAGTACTTATTTAGTGAGGTGGAAAGCAAACCTAATCTTTGTGAAACATAAGGGAAATGTATTTTTGTAGACTTTCTATAGCACTCTTCTTAAAATAAACTTTAATTTTATCCCCGACAGATGTTTGGATGACAGTTATAAACATTTTATATAATATTTGAATTTTGTACCCTTGTGATTGTATGTTGCATTAAATGTAAATTTTCTTTTTTTTGATTTTGAGGGATGGGTTTGGCAACTTGGCATTAAATTGACCTTTCTTTGATTCTTTTACAGTTACAATAATGACATGATTTTAACCGTATTTCAAAATGACATCAATTAAACCATATAACTTTTCATATGATTTTGATATAACAATACAAGTATCTTATGGTGATGATGGTCTGAACTTGCGTTTCCCTGATATCATCATGTTCATTAACTTTGTTGTTACATTAACCAGCATGTTATGGCCAATCATTTTACAGATATTGGAGCTATAATGCATGTAGAAGAATTGTCTCCTTTACGAGGAGGTGTATCTTGGACCGGAAAACCAGTCATTTATTATCACCATACTATTGATAGAACACTGGTGAGTCAGGAGTTAGCTCCCTTTGGAGAGCACTGTTATGTCGTTTGATGTTAAAAAAATCATGTCTCCTGCAAATTTTAGAGTATTTTTTAATCAAATTTTATCAGAATTAATTTAATTAGCTTTATGGGAATAAATCTCAAAACTTTATCATTTTGATTTGCATGTTTTCCTATAAAGAATTTATATTAAAAATTCCTGAAGTATCAGTTTAGCAAGGTAAAATCTGCAGAAAACATAATTTTAGTTTGCATTATAATCTTAAGAAGTTTTCAGTTTCTCAAGTTTAATTGTGATTTGTAATAATATGGATCAGTTTATTGTCTTACCTAAGTGTAGCAGCAAGCTTATATATCTTTTGTTGATCACAAATGAACATTAAACTTTGGAAACTGAAAGCTTGAGTGTTTGGTTACAGTAAGGTTGTAGCTAGATACTTTCATGGGTCTAAGCTCTTGACTTGCATTACAGACATTGGTACAATAATGCACGTAGCAGAGCTGTCCCCATTAAGTGGTGCAGTATCATGGACGGGGAAACCCTTTGCCTACTTTGTACATACAATTGATAGAACATTGGTGAGTACTTCGTCAGCGTCAATCATTTTCATTATGGTCTGGTAGAACGTTTCATCTTCATCATGTTCAGGTAGATCAGTATCAATGTTGTTTTCATGTATCATCATCATCATCATTAATATTGTCACAATTATTATACTTATGTCTCAGTTTTGTTTTTCGGCATGACTCTGCTTAGATATACTTGGTGGAAACAGAACTTATAACATTTGTCTTTTGCACATAAAGTTTTTCAGATTTAAAGATCTGTTTATAATAGAAAAACAAAGAATATGGGGTATCCATCCATGAAACAAAATCAGTACATGCACAGCAAAAAACACACAAAAGCAAAGGAACTGTGCTTTTATTGTTGTTCTTCATCTCAATGTCACAGTAAGGCCTTGAACAAACCAAAAAAACTCTCACTTCACTGCAAGTTTAAGACAGCCCCTAGTGTATTGAAAGCAATGGTTTTTAGTGACAGGGATAAAAAAAAAAAGAATACTAAGAATAAACACGACCATCTGTTGAACTGGGGTTTGAAGTAAGTACTGTCCCTGTATTAGATAGATCAATTCTATCAATTCTACCTGTTGATAGACATTATTAGAGTATCGTTTCTTAAGTAGAATGTGTTACTATATTAAAAAGTTAAACAAAAGACATAAATATGTAAGACAATTCATCTTGTGGTTCAACATAAATCAGTAAACTAGTGTTGTAATTATGAAGAATGAAGGACTTCTATGAAATGTTTGTGAGTTCATCAGCCAGTTTTGCACATTGATAAATTATGGGGAAAATAACCTTCAATTCTTATAATACAAGTTTATAGTACACCAAAAAGATAAAGTATAAAGAATAATAAATTCAAGTACTCAGAGCCTCTATATTTGTTATTAAAAAACATGAATAGGAAGAAAACTTTTTTTTTAATCGACAACATATAAATGTAATCCCTCAAATTTTTAGAATATTTTTATGATAAAATACAAATATATATAAATAAAAACAAATATATCTTAAAGATATGGTTGTTTGTTAACTGCCAAGATATAGTTGTGAAGGAGTCTGCTATTAAGTACAGATAAAGCATTAATCTCCAAATGAAATTGGTATCTGGACTTTTGTAGCCATACTAGTTGCAGATGACATAAAATCATTGGGAAATATCTATAGGCAAATCTCAATGAGACAGCAACCCAGCATAACATTGCAGAATAAACTCAAAAGAATTCGACATTTGATTCAGCTTTTTTAAGAGATGCACTATTAGGTAGTTAGATATGATGATATCAAGTACATTATCTATATAAATCAATTTACAGCTCTTCTATAAAAGCATGCAAAGCAAACCTTTGATCAACTTGCTTGCTATGTTTGTTTGGATGTTTGTAAACAAAAGGTAGGAAGTCTGTTTCAGTCTGTTTACTATATACTGGAATTTGATTGGACAATAAACATTAACTTCATTGCATGTCAATTTTTATTGTCTAATCAAATTCCAGTATATACAAAACAGACTGAAACTCTGCCTACCTATTGTTTGCAAACATCCAAGCAAACCTAGCAAGCAAGTTGATCAAAGGTTTGCTTTGCATGCTTTTATAGAAGAGCTGCAACAAGGTAAATACTCATTTGTTTTTGTCATTTATAGCCTTTAGATTAATATGATTGCTCAATTTACCTTTTCTATTAATATTGTATGTACCAGTATGACAATTCTCAGAAATGCTATTTTTATATCTTTTTAGTTGGAAAAATACTTCCTGAAATTGAAAAATCCTAAGATGAAGGTTAGTATTTAGAACATCAACTTAAAATTATAGTGTGTTTGATTCAGCTTATGACATGATGAATGATCCCAGTTGTCAACAGTTTGGTTCTTAACATTATCTGTTGATCAATGGATTAAATCCAAACCAGACTTATGCTGACATTGTTCCTTTATGGGATCGCCACGATATAGCCTTTTTGTGCTGATGCGGCGTAAAGCAATCGCCAATCAATCAATCCTTTTTGGGAGGTTAACATCACTTTTAGGGTCACTCATAGCTATTAGGATTGTTTTAAATTTTAACAAAGTCTTTGTCCTTAAATGATATTTTTATGCCCTACCAAAGCGGAGGGGGCATTAAGTGTTACCTTTGCCCGTCTCTACGTCCATCCAAACGTCTCAAAATAAGTTTCCTTCTCTAACTTTAGTTTGCCTCAACCAAATGTTATGATACTTATACAAAATGCTTATTACCACAAAACACAGATGGAGTTTGAATTTGGGTTGGATCACTTATACCATCTAAGAGTTATGCCCTTTACAAATGGAAAAATTGCTGAATTTCTGTTTCCTTTCTCCAATTTCAGTTTGCCTCAACCAAATGTTTTGAAACTTATACACAATGTTTATTACCCCAAAACTCAGATAAATTTCGAATATGGGTAGTGTCACTTATACAGTTCTCTAGTTATGTCCCTTTATAATGTTATATGCAAGGGGGCATCATCTGTGTCCCATGGACACATTCTCCATTTATTTAAATCAAACAAGTTATCTTTGATAAGCTTTGATGAATTATGCTCCTTTTGCAAACCCTTAAATCATTTTTATGTCAGTGGGTCGTAGCAGCATAGTAATTCACAACTTTCATAAACTGGTTGAGAAGAGGAAGACCAATATATTTGTATGTCCAAGAGTCAAAGTTCAATGGCTTAGCCATAAATAGATTGAAATTCTTCTAATAACCTTCTCTATTGACCAGAACTTTTGCATATTTTAAGTTAGCCTTATGTTAATTGACATTTGGTGGTGTGTAGTGTACCTTTTTTATCTTTGATCATAAGATAAATTTCTTATTATATTTGCATATATTTTTTCATGGCTAGTAGTTGAAATATTTTGACTTAGCCTTAAGATAATGGTCAGTTTGTAAATGGCCTATGGGCCTATAAGTAGTTTGCTGTTACAATCCAATTCCACTGATTTGAATACAAAACTTTGTTCAATTTGAAAAAGCAGTATTATTTGGTTAATTATGCAAATATTGAAACAACTGCTAAAACAACTGCAAGATAGATCTGGCAGTAGATTCTAAAATATGTAACAAATAGAATTATTTACTCTATTCTAGCTTCTTCATGTGAAATTTTAGCCAAAAAAGCCAGGAAAAAATTACTGGAAAGTTATTGACAATTTTTGTCGAGCCTGCGACTTTTGTCTCAAAAGCGAGACATAGCGATCCTACATTCCGTCTTCGTCGGCGGCGGCAGCTTCCACAAATATTCACTCTGTGGTTAAAGTTTTTGAAATTTTAATTACTTTCTTAAACTATCCTGGATTTCTACCAAACTTGGACAGAAGCTTGTATATGATCATAAGATAGTATCCAGAAGTAAATTTTGTAAAAAAAAATCCTGTTTATCCGTATTTTACTTATAAATGGACTTAGTTTTTCTTCCAGTTTACATTACATACAGTCTGCAGTTAAAGTTTTTAAAACATTTATTGGATTCATAAACCATTCTTACCATCAAAAGATAGTATCTAGAGGAAAATTTTTAATAATTTTTTCCCCATTTTTGTTGAGCCTGCAAATTTTATAATTGAATCTTCTATTTACATGTATTTTTATTGATGAATTAAGGGATAAATCATCAAGCAATGTAAAAATTATTTTCTTTATCATTTTTTCATTCAATACATTTATGTTTAAACTCTTTTATAAATCTATAGATTTGATTGCATACTGTACTGTTTATTTTTTACAAGCATAACTTTTTTCATACATTTCAAATGTTTTATTTCATTAACTGTAAATCTATTATGTGCATTCCCCTATCACACTTAAAACATAGACAACAGCAAAAGAAGGCGAGACACTGGGTTCCATGGAACCCTTACGAACTTTACTTAATAGATATAACATTGTGTGATGAAAATATTTTATAGGATGATGAAGAAGTTAGAAGAGACCGGAGAGGAAGGTTATTGGAAAAGAAGGTTAATGAAATGAACAAGGTAAGAAAGTTTTTTACACATTTAAAAACAAATTTTGTGATTGAAAAAAATCATTGCAAATGTGAAAAAGGTTTGCTGATAAAAAAAATCATTGAGGTAAAAACTACATTTTCAACTTTAAATCACCTTGATTGAAGAAAAAAATATTGATTAAAATGAACAGCTGATGTAAAATATTGGTAACACCTGTCATGACAAGTTCATTTATAAACAATGTGTTTTACAGGATGAAATAAAGAACGGTGTGCTAAAACCCAAGAAAGGAAAAGATAATTGCTCAGCCATTCGTACAATAGACTTTGACAGTAACAGTAATGCTAGTACAATAATCAGTGATACAACAGACGAGAATATCCAGGTACAGGGACCCACAACTCGCCGACAGTGGTCAGAGTTGGTGTCCAAACCTAAATCTGATAGTGCTTCAATGGTGGCCTCCTCTAATGAGGAAGAGGATAGTGTTATAAGTGAGGCAACAACAGGGTCCCTTTCTCAGGTTTGTTGTCCTCGTTTAAAAGTGTTGGTTTGGTTGTTTGTTTTGTTTTCTGTACGTTGGTAGCACTGCTAAAGATATCTTCTATGAACATTTTGTGTGGACATTTTGGTCTATTTTTGCTAAGAAATTTTGCATACTATCCTCCATAACAGTTTCCAAGCTTTACAACACATTGTTAGGAAAGAGTTGGTTTTGATTAATGGTTAATTATTATCATTCAAATATTTCTTCTTCAAAAAATGGAATTAAATTTATGAAAGTTTTGATTAAAATATTCATCTATTGAAACTTCTAGTAATTTATTATTTTGTTTTATATACAATCATTTTGCTAATTTGATATCCATGTATTGTCTTACATTATAATTTCTCCTAGTTAATAAATCCTTTGTCATAGTTTAAAGTTAATGTTAGACAGTAGTATGAAATGTATGTCATGCTCAATTCATCCTTAATTTAAATTATTCGGACTTGTCAAATCAATGATTTTTAATGGGTCACCTTTAAGTTAAGAAACTATCTAAAATATCTGCATTAACTTCCAAGATCAGCTCAAGTTTTGTCCCAAAGGAAACTTTTGTAATCAGCTATAGATGAACAAAACAGAGAATACAGTTTTTTGTTTCATTTGGTTTGTTGGTGTTATTGTGGACTGTTATTTTATTGTCTGGTTTATATGCATGGTGACAGTTTGTTTGTTAGTTTATTTCAGAGGAGGTACCCATTCCTAGCTAATTTTATGTTAATATTGTGTATCATACTTCTTTTAGATAATTTTTCATTTATACACACATTGTGAAAATATGTCCTATACTTTAATAGAATTAATACTTTGTTAAATTAATTAATTATATAAGACATTTTTCTATACATTTAAGGAATGACTGTAATATTTTTTTCTGCCTATGAAGAAATAACATAAAAAATGTAGTACACACTGAATAACCCACATAGCGGGTTTTTTAAAAGTGTGCACCCCATTTTGGAGGTTATTTCGAATAGACGGAAAAAATATTACAGTCATTCCTTATAATTTAATTCTAAATTCCATTTTTGAGGAGTAAATCTTGAAAAATCGTCACTGTCACATGATATAAGTATGTCTATGAGCTGATAGACAAAAAACTTTTAGCCAATCAGAAGACGTGTTACATCCAAAATTAAATTATTGCAGAATAAAAGTGCTAAATTTACTTCATTATTCAATTTTTGAATAAACATTTTTTTTAATTATACAATCTTATCTTGCATGTATTCAAATAAAAACACTAAAGCATTTTTCAATGTGTTAATTTTTTTTTTACAGTCAAACATAGAACTGGATGTTGAGATGGCACAGAAAGTAAAGGAAATGAAGAAAAATCAAACAACAAAAAGGTTACAGAATGGACGTCACAAAAGAAAAAGAGATGTTCCAAATGGTAAATCTTAGATTAATTGTTTGGAAAAATAACATTACATTTATAGAGAAAATGTTTGGGATATATTCGATAGTTAACCTTTTCCCATAGGTTAGATAAATATGAGTTGGTGGTTAATCAGGACTGTTCCTTTGAAATATACATCACATAGGGATAGGCTATATTAAATCATTAATGAAAAGAAATAAACTAGAAATTTTAAAACTGTTGCTATATTTTTAAATTGTCTATTTGGGGCCACTGTGGTTTGATTGAACTACATTTATTGGAATTATGATCTTAGATCAGTCATTTTTTAACAATCTTCAATGATTTAATCTTACTATACATAACAATTTTCAATGATTGATTTTAAATTTCAGCATTTTTAGGGACTCAACAGTCTTGTTTTTATGTTATTATACTAAAATTTAATAAAATTGACAATATGACTGGTATTTATATTTTACCCTTTGCATCGAAGTTTATTATCTGTTGTTAACTTCCAGGACGAGCAAAAAGAACAAATTTCTCTACAGCAAAATCGAGAGCTGCAAATAGAAACAAGAAGAAAGAGAAAGTTCTTGCGTTGGATAGTTTGAATCTGTTACATACACACACCCTCATGTCAACATCCAATTCAGGTAAGATATATGTAATCCAGTGCTAAGGGCTGTTCCATTAAAACATACATGGTACCCAGGGAAGGCACTTTAAAAATGGGGTAACCACCTATAGAGGCAAATTAAAATTTCACTTACATTTTCACTATGCAAAAACATAGATGAAACCAACCCATAGTTGAGATTTGAAAGTGCCTTCCCTGGTTACCATGTATGTTTTTATGGAACAGCCCTAAGTTACTGCTAGGATTGAAAAGATACATTTTGGTTGTATATTTTTTAAATTATGAAATTGTACAAAGTTTATGGTTGCTGCAACTCCCAGCTTGTAAATTTTTCTTGAAAAAATTCCTTTTTTGGTTTTGAAAATTGTAAAATCTTATGCATTTTCCTTCCAAGACTTTTTAGTATTAAGTGTATCTGATGACAGTTATTCCAGAAATGCGTGTAATGTTCCTGCAAAATATTCCATCACAAATAAAACATTTTACCTCATAATGAAAAAAGTGATTGTTGCATGGTGTCAAAAGGTTATTCAGATCAAGATCTAGGGTAATTCGGAGAGAATTCAACTAAATACCCAAAAGTGTAAATACACCTATTTCAAAATGAAGTAACATTTCAGCAATTTGATATTGTTTTGCAGCATCTCCAGAGAACCAGAGGAACTGGAATGATAGGAGTATGACTGGAGTATCCTCTAGTTGTTTCAAAGCAATGACACAAGATCATACTATATCTAGATTAGAGACAGAGCAGGCGTTACATCAGCTCTTAGGTAATGCAATTATTTTGTTGATAAACTTTGTTAAATTCTTTTACAATTTATTAGGACTTTTTTATCTGGTTGACCATGGCATGACACTTAAATCACTCTTGATGTTGTTTGATTAGAATTATGTAATAATAAATATGATATTTGCATGCTATGAAATTCTATTGATTAACATTGTATCTTTTTGTAATATTTTGCAAATAGAATATGTTTAAACTGATCACTCTTGATCAACATGTGTTGTTTGTTTGCTGTCTGATTGATGGTTACCCCACATTTCCTAATTCTCATATTATTGTTTATATTGGAAAAAAGGAGCCCTTGAGAAAAGGGAGAAAATACAGATGAATGCAAACTGAAAGATCTTCTAATGTTGTAGGACACAAAATTAAGTCATTGTTGTTCTGACTTACTCCTTCTTAAAGTTAATTGATGAAGATTTAAAAAAAAATATTCAAAATTATTACCTCAGTAAAACTTATCATCAAGCATGTATATCAATGTGTATAACTAAATATTAATTTTTTTCTCAGTATTGTTTTTTTCTATTCTAGAGTTGTTTAAACAGCAATATTCACAGTTCCTGTCTTATATGCAGACACCTCAGTATAGAATATCTTTGCAGCAACAAATTGAACAAGAGAGGGTAAATATTTTGATTAAGTTAAATATTAGGTATTATATGTTTTGTTGTAGTGACAATTATTAATGTAATAAAGAGTGATTGATCGATTAATAATTGTTTGCTTAATGTCCAGTAGCAACTGTTTCATGTATATTCAGGACGAACAAGGCAGTAGTTTGGGAAGAAATATAGTTCATGTAACAGTTTAAAGTATTTAAAAAATCCCTAATTTTTTCTCATTTTAGAAAATAGTAATTGTACAAAACACAAGACTACTATTTCAACACATGGCGAAGTGTGTCAAGGAAAAATCTCCCTGTTAACATAGGAATGTAATGAAATTTAGCAGAATTAGAACACCCTGTGTAGCTGTGCATTGTCATAGTTATTTATTTAATCGGTATTATTTTGGAAGTTTCCTATAGCAAAACATGGCCATTTAAAAAAATGGAAATTTTGTCAATTCAAACTCTCTACAGTTTACATTTGTTCAATTGCAATGAAACAATATTTTATGGAATTGCTTACTATGGTATGAAATGTGAATTTTTTTAGAAAAAGTAACTGTCAAAATAGACAGTGAAAATGGAGGAGACAAAAACAATTTTTATTTTCTTTCAATGGATAATTTGAATCAATAAATATAAGCAAATCATTATTACAATATATTTCAGGAAAAACAACAGAAATTGAAAGCTAAAGTACAGCAGTTAGATAAACATATATCTAGTATACAGAAAGAAAGTGTAGGACATTTACAAGCAAGATTAAAAGAGGTTTGTCTTTACGCCTTGTCTGCAACAAACAGTGGAGCAAATACACACATTCTTTCAACTGTAGGATTCTTTATGAAAATAAGAAGATGTGGTATGATTGCCTATGAGACCACTCTCCACCAGAAACCAAATGTTACATGAATAGTTAGCAAATATAGGTCACTGTACAGCTTTCAACAATGAGCAACACCTATACCGCATGTCAAGCTATAAAAGGCCCCGAAATGACACATGTAAAACAATTCAAATGAGAAAACTAACGGCCTTAATATATGTACAAAACAATATAAATGAAAAGCAAATATGATATACAGCAGCAAATAACCACTGAATTACCTTGGGACAGGCACATTCCTCTAGCTGCAGGTCAATGCAAAATTTTATTGTATCACAGAAACATCTTCATCAAAGATTTAGGCATGTCATGGTTCAGTGATCACCTGAAATGTTTTTACACCAATAATAGGCAAAGCTGCACGATGGAGCACCTTGTCCATTAAACATAGACAATTCTTGTTTTATTTTATTTTTGATATAGATCAAAAGAGGATATATGTATGAAGCAAGATAAGGTTTTGAGTCATATTTATTTATGTCTATTATTGTTACTATTTGGGTAGTTATTTGCTTTCTTACAAAATTGAATATACCAAGTTAACTCGTACTGTTAATTTCCAGTGAAAGATGAGGAAAACTGTGATATTATTTTTTCTGCCATATATATCATCTATTATCTAAGAATTGGTTGTATCTTATTTTAATTTTATTTGAATTCAAAAGTTTTTTACTAGAAAATGCATGAAGCATATTAGTTTTTTAGTCAACACTTTTACAACTCTTGAAACTGAAAAAAGGCAAATTCAATTCTTAAAACCTTTTGCAATTTATGATTGGAAAAATTGCAGTATAAGAAAATGAATCAAGTTGAAAAGTTTTACTCATTTATCGCTATTATTGTATTATCTTTCATTTTAACGGAAGCACACATGTCTTTGATTCTGTTCTTCAAGGGGTTATGAAGTATAATTTTATGCCAGTCAAATTAAAGAGATTCAAATAAACTTGCACTCAATTTGATTGTTTTTTTTTTTTATTGTGGGATATTTATGTCATTAAATTTTGACCATGTAACAAAAAATAAATCCACTGAAGATACAATATTTCTCTTTCTAGCTTGGTATACAAGCATCAACTCCAGCAGAATTCTTGTTGCAGGCAAAACGTATTGTACTGGAACACAAGGAGTTGGAGGGACAAGTGAGTACCGTAGAACAACAAATTAAACACTTGGAGAAAATAAGTCCGGTACGTCTGTATTTACATTTAGACGTCATCATCATCAGTCATGCATGAATTCATCAAGGAAGATGTCATAACAACTCATTTGTCATGCATGAGTAAATACAGAGTATCATCAGGAAAAATTTCATTTAAAAATTGTAATAAAAGATAAAGTATGTTAATTCTATTGCATACTTCATTTGCCATATGACTCCTGTGTTGATTTGATTTGTTAACAGATGATCCTCTGAAAAGAAATTCATCAGATTAACCTTTGTCATCAAATGTCTGTCAGTATCTTATCTTATTAAAAATGCAGTTCCTGTATCCACGCTTCACTTACAAGGATCTGATAACAGTCCATTTTACTTGTTGTTTAGGTAATTATGATATCAGCCAATGAAATTTCTGCATCCAAATTATTTTTAAGGGGGGATTATTACAACAAAACCAGAGGATTCAGAAAGGTCATAAAAACTGAAGATCTTTTTTTAGCGGAGCATGGAACAGGATCTGTATCTTAATCAGATTGATCAGTATCATTCATCGTATATCTTATTTGATAATTTCCAATTTCATTAACCTGTTGGTATGCAACAAAGATAGCAACTTTACTTTGTTTAATGCAGTAAAATGAGAACATTGTATTAGTTCAAGTTATTAACATAGAATTGTGCTATTTTTAAACAGAAAAGTCATTCTTCATTGCATTAGATATTGCTTTGTATCATTCCTAAACATGTACATTTTTAAAAACTAAATTAAGATGAACATAGTAAATATTCTACATATTTGAAAAGTATAATTTTGTTTTGTATTAATGAAATGTAATGTAATTTTTTCCATCTTTTTGTTAAAATTCCACTGATTTAAATTTTATTCTAATAAGCCCCATGGGCATTATATTTTCTTGAAAATATGAGTATGCTTGTTAGGGTGGAGTTTACAATTAACTTTGGTAGGAAATCATTTTACCTAGTCCAGCTAGTTTCCTACAGTGGATTTATGGAAAGATATAAATTACATTTCATTTAATTTTTGGCAAACTTTTGGAAGACATTCAAAAGTGACAAGACTTAGATAAGCAAAAATTAGAAAGAAAAAAGTATTTGAAATTTGACCAATAAAAATACATGACTTCACTTATAACATGTGTAAACATTATGAAAATAACTAAAGCCATGCATTCTTTTTGTCAATAAAGAAAATTAAGAATGGATACAAAAAATAGAAATAACTTACTGATCTGCTAATATTTTGATATAGATTTGCATAAAAATGAGATATTGATACAAATAGTCAATTTTTTGTAACTATATTTTAGTTGGATGGTGGTACAAGTGTGTTGGCAGATAAAACAACTAAACTGAATGGAATCAAGGTATTTTATTAAATTATAGCACAGGACAAGCTCCTATTTTGTTGAATTGTTTATATAAGAAAATCAAACTATATTTTTAACTACTCATATATATTTAAAAAGCTTTGAAAATTTTGTGAAGTGATCTTTGATGTTCAACTGAATGTAAAAATAAAGGTTATGTGTCTTTGCATCATATCAGTAGCTTCATATATCATAAATTAAAAGAATGCATCACTTAATATATTTTGTTTCTTGTAGAATGGCTACCACACCACCGAACCATTACCTGATATCATAATGAAGGAAGTTAATGCATCTTATACACAGAAAAAGAAACTAATCAGCAAAGTGAAACAACTAGAGGCTGAAGTTACAGAATTAGAAAGGAAAAATAATGGTCTTCAGAAAGAAAACAGGATCAAAGTAGAACAAGAAAATAGAATAAAAATAGAAGAAGAAAACAAGATAAAAGTGGAGCAAATTAAAACTGAAAAGAAAAAAATACAAAAGGCAGCTACTTTAGATAAATCAGGGATTGACATTAAAACAGTGATTCATCCAACCATTACTCAGTCAGCTGCTCAGTATGTCCATACCAAGACTCAGGCATCATCTAATACTCATACTATCTCAGGAAAAGCCAATCATTCCATTTATATAGAACCTAAGAAGGAAAGGCTACCTACTTCTGGTTCTACTCAGGTCAACATGCCAACATTTAGATCTCTTCTTCAAGCAACTGGCGAACAAATGAAAAATCAAGAGGAATCGAAAAGAAAGATTCAAATACTGATGAATCCTAATCCAAAAATAGGATCAAAAGCTAGTGCTAAACCAATAAAACCGAATCCTGTCCAGTTGAATGGGGCACATAAAATTGTTTATTTAGTCAAAGATAACACAGTTCCTGCCATTGGAACCAACAGAACATTACTGAATACAATCAAAGATGTTAATGCACGTCCTTCTCTGCCCATCAGTATTCCATTAGATCATCTGCCAAAAGATGAGTTACGTGAAAAAATAAAAAACAGTTCAGTGAAACCAGATGTCAATGATAAGCCAAAACAAATAATTGATATGGACTCTATGTACTCTCCAATTAGTAGACCAAGCAGTCAGGGCAGTACCACAGATACAGCAGAAGAACCACCTCCACATTACCAACCTGAACAAAAGATTTTTCCACAAACTAAACACCCAAATTATATCATATACCCAATGGCTTCAAAGCCATCAAATTTCACTGTTAATAACTTTGTAGAAAATGTAGTCAAAAATGAAATGGGTCGTCCTCAGAAACAGCAGATAATATTTAATGGAGCGAAGAAAGAAAGTCAACCTGTCAATAGTTCACAAAGTGATAAAATTCTAGCTGAAGCATTGTTACAAATGTCAAAAGCACAGAGCAAAGCACCAACAGGACAACAGTTTCCTTCCTATGTTACTAAAGTTTATGTTTCACAACAGAACACGAATGTTAACAATAGTGCTGATAATCAGAAATTAAAACGCAAACGATCTGACTCTGCACAAAGTCCAGAGAAAAGAAAAATGCCTTATAAACCATCTGTTAATTCCAGTCCATTAAGTTCCATTCCATCACTGATGAGTATAGCTACTAGACCAATCGGTATCACAGCCCTTAATTCACCAGAGAAAAAATCATCAGAAAAACCTATTGTTCATACTTCTAATAATAAAAGTAAGTATAACAAACAGACATTTAATGTAACACTATGTACACACAGAAAAAACTAACTGAACCATATATTGTTTTTAAATGGCTTTGGAATAGAGAGGATTGAAAGATATGGTTTTCATGAAATTTCTCTGAATTCTGTATTGAATGAATGATATGAGTTAACTTGTTTTCAGACATTGTGACAAAAGAAACATTTGTGAATAAGTTGGATTTGAGTTTAATGTTCATTCAGACTTAATGGATCATGTGAAGACACTTCAGGCCCATGTTCCCCCCAAAATTACTGAATTCAAGCAATGGTTTTAAATCAATATTCAGATTTTGTATATAACTTATCTGAAAATATTCCAGTATAAACATTATTATTTCAGATAATCTAAAGAGGACACCAACTAATGGTTACACAACAAATGAATTGTGGAAATCTCCAGACAAATTTGATAGATTTGATGCATTAGTTGCTCTGGCCTCCTCAGAACTTGGTGGTAATCAAACACCTATCAAAAAAATATTTCCAAAAAAATCTGGACCTAAAACTCCACCTGGATCACCACCATGCAAACGTAAATCTAGGAGGAGTAGGTCATCTAGTAGTGACACAAGTTCAAGTCGATCACGATCTTCAAGTTGTTCTGGATGTAGTTCTCGTAGTCGAAGCAGGAGTTACAGTAGCCGAAGTAGGAGTAGATCTTCAAGTTCTTGTTCCAGTCGTAGTTCTGTCAGCATAAAACGTAGTAATAAAAGTGCATCTGTAAAGACAAGTAATCCGGGGAATCAATTACAGTATTATTCAAATAATAAGCCTTCTATTGCAATGTCTAGTATGAACTATATACCTAATAATAATATAATACTCAGCCAGCAATTGAATACCGGTGTAAATCATCATCTCAGTAATAGCGCATCATCATTACTTCATCAACAGGCCATTAGTCAACAGCTTAATAATCATGCTACGTCATTACTCAACCAACAGGCAAGTAGTAATGGAGCAATAATTAACCAACAGTCTAGTGGACCTTTACTGGCAACTCCATCTAATCCTGGTGGACCTTTACTGGCCACACCGTCTAACTCGGTTGGATCTTATGTTCAAAATGGCTCAAATTATTGTTTGGTTAATAGCAATGCACATTTAAATGGTGGTGGAATGGTCCTCATGGGTGGACCTTCTGGAAATGCACCAATACAGAATACTGTCCCAATTTTGCCAGGGACATCACTACCTAATAATGTTGTACTTCTGTCATTCTCACAACAAAATGGAGGACAAATTGTCAGGACGCCTACACCAACAAACACAGTTCCTGTAGGAAAGAAAAAAATAGTGGAAAAACTACATCAACCTCCACCTCCTCCTCATACACTACTAGGTATTGGTGGTTACAAATCTAAACAACCAAATACATCTCCTCAAAGATTTAACGTCCCTGACATGACACGTCCACCGCCTAACATTAACTTGTCACCAAATACCGCTGGACACAACAAATCTCCAGGACTAAGTCCACTAAATGATCCACGACCTATGTTTATAAACCATCAGGTGATGACACGTCCACATCAGGAAAACTTGGGTCTACGTCACAATAGTCCTCATCACAGACCTTATAATCCATCAGAAATTGGTTTTACTGGTCAACAACATGTGCAATCTGCAAATAAGTACCGTCAGAATCTTCCATCTAACCAATTAGGAGATGGTGCAAGATTCACACAAAATCCTAGATTCAACATGACTAATGTTAGACCAAGATTTAACTCAACAGCACAGCAAGGTAAAAGTTAGGTTTATATGAAATGTTCTGAATAAAAGATCTAAATACAACATTGGTGCTCTCTGGTGTTAAAAACTTTTTCTTCACATGATAATGAAATACCACTTTATTTGGTATCAAGTTCTATATGATATTTTTGTGTATTGTTAAATGCCTAAAAACTATTATTGCAATGATGTTTTTTACAGTATTTTCAATAGATAAAAGATCTATATGATAAAAGCTCATATGATGGTGCTCATGTTGTATCTTTAAAACAAATTTTGCAGGTTTGTTTGACCTGTCATTATCTTTTCAGGTTGGCACTGATACAGTTTCCTTAGTAACTGATCATTGGTGTCAAGTTTACTGAAAAACAGTTTCCATAGTAACCAATTTATGATGTCAAGTTTACAGATAAGCGATCACCACTGACATGTCTTTCTGTCATCTTTGATGTGCCAAATAAATGAAGATCTTCATATGTCATATTGCTAGCATTAATTCAAAAATAGTGTAAAATGTATGGTGAAGAAGAACATGATTATAGATTAAATTATGAAAGATGAATAAATGAAGACATTAATTTCATAAGATAAATTTAAATGATCATTATTAAAGCCTTAATACCTGAAAATTAGCAAGTTAATGTTTACGGCCAGTAAAATTCATTTATTTCGATATCAAAATGGCAAAATTTTATTCTTCATATTTTTTTAATACTTTAACATAATATTAGAAAATGTTGTTGCTGATGTTGCATTTGCTAATATATATTTGAAGTAGCTCTTTTTTTATTAGATAGATAAAAATGTTTACAAAGTCAGCGATAAATAAAATTTGCTCAGTTTATGTTTTAGGCATGATCTTTTTTTGTATAATGATAAATACAGTCAGCCCCTAGTACAATTTTGTAGTCAAATAAAATATTTTTGGGGATTGATAAAACTTTTATTTCTATAGAAAAATATGTATAATATCAATGGTACATATATTTTTTTAATAAGTTTTTAACATATATAGCAAGAGTACAAAATTAATTTCGTTTTTCAATATTTCCTTAATTTTACATTAGGAGATACCTATTAATCATTCTTATCCTATATCTGCTGAATTTTCATGTTGTTTTTTCATCACTCAGGATTCATTTGTTGTATTGCATGATTTTTTTGTTATCTAGAATATATCCGTTGTGCTTTTAAATTATATTCTTAAAAATTGAAATTTCAAATATAATATGACCGTATTGATAAGATAAGCCAATTAATTTTTGTAAAAGTGAAAAATTCGTGAAAATAGAATAAGCAATGGATTCAAGTTATTTTAAACAAAATATGTTGCTTCATTATATTCAGGAATGGTTTTAAAAGGATTAACTTTTGTCTATTTACTAAACTTTTACAAGTATTCATTCATAATTTAAGATTGTGTCCTTTGAAATGGATGAGGTTTATTGTAAATCAAAAGATTTCTGAAGGAAGAAATTAATTGCATGTCACATGAATTCGGCCAATTGTGTTTATCATTTTCATCGTTCATGAATTTACTCCTTTTATGACAAAATTGAATAAGGCTATTCTAAAATTAAATGAATGGGGGTAGGCACTCGTTTCTCCTAAACCTCCTGTAAAATTTTTAATAAGAAATTGAATGCACTAAATATGAACCCCATTACCCCTAATAAGCAGAGGGGTGCATTCTTTTACTTTGGAGGGCAGAAGGGCGGGGGTTAAGGCATCAAGGGCAGGCCGCCCTTCTATTTAGGGCAGGCGGGAACACTGCCCTTTATTATTGAATTATTGATAGTGCGTGCCTTCCAAATCTCCTCCGAAATACATACAATTCTGAAATAGCTTTTAACAATATTTGGTTATAACACGTAATTATATTGGGGTACTGCTCTGATTGTCTTCAGCTCATTATGAATTAAGCTTATTTTATCATGTTATTAGGAATAGATTTAGTTTTAATTAGGGACAAAATTATTTTTAAGTGTTTACAATAATATGTTTTATAATTTTTGCAATTTACATATCACATGTGTTTTAGTATGAATTGTTTTATATACAGCCCATTGCATTGGACTGTTAGATTTTGGTGCTGAATTAAATTATATAGCATTGTTTAAGGGAATTGTTTATAGACTGATGAATTGTTAGTGCTATTGTTAAAAAATTTAAATGTTTTTATGTTGCAACATGAATTAATTTAAAGCAAACCTCTTATACAATGTTGTTAACAGAATAATGCAAAGCGCTGTAGTGACTTTTCTATTAACATGTATAGCAATCAGATGAGGCACTCGTGCATTATTGTGTTGTTTAATTAGAAAAATGATGAGAAATTTGTTGTAAGATGGTTTCTGCTATGCCATCTTAAGTCCCATATCTTGGCACTATACATGTTAATGGTAAAGTCCCAATTGATTTGTTGATTTTTGCTGTAAAAGTAAATTATTTGAATGCTTCAAATGTACATATGTGTAAGAGTATATTCAGAAAATGTATTTGTGTTTGATGGATTAGATAAGGCATTCTGTTGTGGAGTCAACTTGGTATGGAAAGAGTGTATGAAAGATTTTTCAACCACATTGAGTGTACAATATAATTTCTGTCACAAAAAAAAATCATTCCAGGTTTCCCCATATTATTTTACATATAGAAATGGCATCTTCTCATTTATGCAGAAAGAAAAATATTGTATCAGCTGGCCAGTCAAATAATATTGTTTTCTTTTGAGCATGTTTTTTTTACTAATTTGAATGTACAACTTGTTTTTTAATGTTATTTTTTTTACCATAATTTTAAAATATGATCAGTTTAGATAAGCAAAATAAAATAGTCTCAAAAAGTTTATATTTTGCAAAAGATACATCATGGAACATCTTTTTACTTTTTCATTCTATCACAAGTTCTCTTAATGAAGAATATTTATCCATATGTTAGTTGTTAATTCATTTCCAAAATATATACATGTATCTGGAAAAAGATTTAAACATACTGCAGTAGCATAATTTAAAAACATACAATATACAGATACATGTTTCTTTCTCAAAATAAATCGAGAGAAAAATAACCATTTTGCACTTGCATTACAAGTACTTCATTTTTATCTCACCTAAACATAATTTATAAACATTGGTTTTTTTTCTTGTCTGTCGTGAAAGTTTGATAGTTTACGAAGTCATAGGAAAAGTAAAATTTGACAGGATTTCTCCATATCACATGTATTTGATACTCTTATTTAATGTTTTGATCAGATTTTTGTTCCTTAAATTTCCCATAAGAAGACATGGACCTTGCCTTTTAACATATGAGGAAACTTGTCAATAAAAAGTTCTATACAGTTAACATTGGGATTGAATGAATGAACAAAATTGCTTAGAGTTTTCAGGGTTGTTTTAACATAGACAGGAAGAAACAAGGGAGACGTGATTTCGTTTTTCAAAATTAAAGTTTTTCATCCATCTTTTGTGAAATTTGAATTATTAAAAATATAAATAGATTGTCACATACACACACAATTTTTGAAAAGCAACATAGACAAAATTTCAAGTTTTAAAGATTTGCACATATCCATAATTGATCATTTTCAGAATTTTTATGCTCATTTTTTAACACAAAAATATTATCCATCTTCTTGTTATACTTATTGGGTAAAATTAGGTAAAGGCAGCAGCTGATTAATTATCGGTGGATTAATAAAATATACTGGTGATAATTATTGATAATTAGTTTATACGCTTCAGGTTTTATATATATATATATATATACATACATATATATGATGTATTTAGATAATTTGATTCAGGGCAGCTGAATAAATAGATTTCTATTGGTGTATGCATAGTCTGATGAGCTTGTCACTGTTACATTATTTTAAATTTGTTAAGCTGCTATCCTGATCCCCCTGTATTTCCTTGTGGATCTATAAAGATCTATCAACTTCATAAAATAAGTTACTGCATATGCTAATATGGGTAAATTTTTTCTATTTTATTTTAACTAACATCATAACAGAGAAAAGATATCAATCAAAACTGTGAAAATATGAAGTATTGATAATGGATCCACATAGAAATATAGAGGTACAGATGATGTGGTTTGGATATGTCATTTTACCTTTGCTTGTTTATTTTACCCACAATAAGTTTGTTATTATAGTCAGTAACTAAAGGGATTGTAGTTTTTCATTGTAAATATTTCACTTGTTTAAGTTAATTTTTCCAATATAAGTTGCATCAGTTAATTCAGATCTCATTTCATCAATAAAATTTATAAACTGTCTGAGTGCTAGTTTTATTGCCTTAAAAATAAGAATACATGTTTTAGTATCCCTAAGTGCAAGATAGAATGGATATATAAAACCACAATAAATCGGTTACCACTGGAACCATACAGACTACAACCGAATTTAGAGGCAGAAATTTTGAGAGGTCAATTTCAGAGATGGAAATCTGATTTTGAACCGTACCAAAGTTATAGAGATGAAATCTATAAATTCAGGCATATTATGTTTAATAGCATATATAAAAATAAGAAGATGTGGAATGATTGCCAATGAGATAACTCTTTTCCATAAACCAAATGAAGTAGATAGCTACTCTTCTCCATAAACCAAATGACGTAGATAGCAACTGCAGGTCAAAGAACAGCCTTCAACTGAGCAAAACCCATACATCATAGCAAGTTATTAAAGGCCCAAAAATGACAAATGTAACACAAATAAACTTGAAAACTAAATAACTAATGTATAAACTAATAAACAAAAAACAGATATGATATACAGCAATTAACGACAACCACTGAATTACAGGCTCCTGACTTGGGTCAAGCACATACAAAATGTGGTGGTGTTAAACATGTTAAAGGGTGCCCGACCCTCCCCCTAATCTGGGACAGTAGTGCTATAAAAGAACAAACTACAAAACATTAAAAAAAAATATGTATAATAAAAAGCAACAAACAACCTCTCAATTACAGGCTCCTGACTTTGGACAGGCACATATAGAATGTGATTGGTTAAACATGTTAGCAGGTGCCCCAACCCTCCAATAACCTGATACTGTTGTGTAAAGGTGTTGGTTTTGTTACTGAATTTAGCAATCAAAAAATATTTTACATGTGTTGCAAAACATTTTGAAAAGTCTCTGTTGATAAATTTAAAAATTAAAAAGAAACTTAGGTTCTAATTCGCTTAGGGAAAGTTGACCTTATGTGGATTTAGCTATTTCTTTTATGGTCCATTTTGGTTTTACATCGAAGTATTTGTACTATAGCTTTAAATTTTGGGGTTTGATTGTTCCTGATGAAGGTTAACCTAGAAAAATGCTCTGGACACACCAAATATATATACTGTTATTTTTCATTTTACAATTATTCCCTATGCTTATTTCACTTACCTTCAAAGGTTGAAAAATTAAGTTCAACAAATGGTGATGTCAAAAGAGTGATAACACTACTTAAAAATCACTTTCCATTCCACATAATATAGATTCAAAGGGTTTTATATTGAGAAAAATATTTTACCATCAAAGCAATATTTAATAAGAATATAATAAATATCACTGATTAAAGATAATGTGGAGAATCCATAGCATGTAGAATTGTTTATAACTAAGAACTCAGCTAGTCCTTGGGTCTGTGCAAATAAGGATTCACACCCATATAATGATGGCAAATTATGTTGAGGGAACCAGGGGTTTGTAAAAATCAAGTTAATTAGACTTTTCAAGTGTTATGATCGGTTGTGGTAAAAAGACTACAGAGGAGGGATTTTACAAGTTATACTGAGAAGTTCTGTTTTAAAATGAATATGAGTTATAGTCCTTCATCAATGCACAACATGTTCAAATTACATTTATTTTGTTCTCTATATAAACATGATTTTCGAGTACACTTGATTACGTGTATCTTGTAATTGTCGGAAAAGGCAATATTGAATTCAGGACACTGATATTGTATAAAACAAGAGGCTCGAAAGAGCCTGTGTCGCTTAACAAGGTACATCTTCAACAATAGACACTCTCCAACATTGTAGACTAGAATAGAATTCACGTCAAAAATCTCTTCTTTTTTTTTTGTTGATCTTATAATGTTGATCATTTTTCTGTTAACAGATTATCTCTATCTTTTTTAATAGTTTTTGCCCAAAACACAAGAGGGTAAAAAAATCGTCATTTAAGGGCAACCACTCCTATGAAGAGTCTACTAACTATTTTATCAACATTTGACTGGCTTGTAGATCTTGTCTTGCTGATCATTTTTGTCGAGCCTTCGACTTTTGTCGAAAAAGCGAGACATAGCGATCCTACATTGCGTCGTCGTCGTCGTCGACGGCGTCCACAAATATTCACTCTGTGGTTTAAGTTTTTGAAATTTTAATAACTTTTTTAAACTATCCTGGATTTCTACCAAACTTGGACAGAAGCTTGTTTATGATCATAAGATAATATTCAAAAGTAAATTTTGTAGAAAAAATTCTATTTTTTCCGTATTTTACTTATAAATGGACTTAGTTTTTCTGCCAGGAAGCATTACATTCACTCTGTGGTTAAAGTTTTTGAAATTTAAATAACTTTCTTAAACTATCCTGGATTTGTACCAAACTTGGACAGAAGCTTGTTTATGATTAAAAGCTAGTATATAGAAGGAAATTTTGTTCCATTTTTTCCGTATTTTACTTATAAATGGACTTAGTTTTTCTTCCAGTTAACATAACATACAGTCTGCAGTTTAAGTTTTTAAAACATTTATTAGATTCATAAACTATCCTGGATTTTTACCAAACTTGAACAGAAGCTACTTACAATCAAAAGATAGTATAGAGAGGAATATTTTTATTAATTTTTTTCCTCATTTTTGTTGAGCCTGCGATTAACAGCAAAAGTAGGCGAGACACTGGGTTCCGCAGAACCCTTACGAGTTTTTACCTATTATCAAGAAAACTATGATATTTTAGTAGAGAGAAACATTTTTTTTCCGTTATGAAAGTCAAATTTTGCCGATATAGTTAGTAGACTGTCACTCTTCATAGGAGTGATTGCCCTTTAATGAGGATTTTTTTACCCTCTTTTGTGTTTTGAGAAAAAACTAAAGAAGATAGAGAGAAACTAAACAGACTAAAAGATCAGTAATACAAGATCAACAAAATAGAGATTTTTGTCATGAAGTCTATTCTTATCATTTCTTATCTACAATGTTGGAGATATAAGCAAAAAAAACGCGAAAAAAAAATGGTAAAAATCGTCATTAAAGGGCAATTACTCTAATAAGGAGTCGTCTGACGATTTCGGCCATGTTGACTTATATCAGTAGATCTTGTCTTGCTGGTAATTTTTGCTCTTAAAGTTTCTCTCTATGCATTATAATTTTAAAAATAATAGACAAAAATGACAATAAAAATCGTAAAACTCGTCATTCAAGGGCAATAACTCCTATAAGAGGACTATCTGTATCTGTATCGTTACGTCGAAGGTACCAATGGATCACAGTCTTAAAAAAGAATGAGTTCTTAAATTGCTCGGTTTAGCAATTTGTTGTATCAATTGCCTTTGAGTTGTTCTTGACCGAATTGTTTACTATGTTAGTGCTTTCAAAGTCTTAAAAGCGTTTCGGTTTGATAATCCTTTTGGTTTTGCTCTTTACCAAAAATTCTTCAGGTTCGATAGCTGGGACCAAACCCTCAACCACTTTTAACAGAACTATTCTTCTGGACTGCAGGTTTTCTAGTTCCAGTACGGTAAGCATTTTTGCGACCGATCCTTCTCTAGATTTGTAATCCCCTGTGATGAAACGTGCTGCTCTACGCTGTATCCTTCCTAGTTGGTTGATGTTGTTTGTTGTCTATGGGTCCCATACTATTGACCCATATTCCATTGTAGATCTTACCAATGAGATGTAGGCTGTTTTCTTGCAGTCTTTTGGGCAGAATCGTAGGTTGCGTCTTAGAAAGCCGAGTGTTGAATTTGCTTTCTTGGCCACATTTGAGATGTGGGTGGTCCATTTTAAATTTTCTGATATTTGTAGCCCCAGGTATGGATTGTGTTGGACTTGCTGGAGTATGTGTCCATCAAAGGTGTATAATTTCTGGCTTTTGACCTTAATATTCAGGATGTAACATTTCTTTGCGTTAAAGCGAATACCCCAGTCTTGGTCCCATTTTTCTAGGCTAACCAGATCTTGTTGTAGTAGTGTGTGGTCACGTTGAGTTCTTATGTTTCTGTATAACAGACAATCATCAGCCAAAAAAAAATCTAACAGTCGATTTTACTGCATCTGGCAGGTCGTTGATATGACAGAGGAAGGGAAGGGATCCAAGTACGGTTCCTTGTGGAACTCCCGAGTCTACTGTAGCTTCTTCAGATTCCTCTCCATCAATGACAACTTTCATCTTTCTCTGAGTGAGAAACATTTCCAGCCATTTATTCAGTGGTCCTCTCACACCATATTCATCTAGTTCGTGTAATAATTTGTTGAGGGGCACGGTGTCAAATGTTTCTGAAAAGTCCAGGGTAGCAACATCAAAGCATCATGTGATTTCATGAAGTCGTGCAGTGTGACTAATAGCTGTGTTTAACATGAATACCCGGATCTAAATCCATGGTTAAGTGGTGTGAGTACCCTGTGCTTGTCTAGGTGGTTTAGCATGTGCTTACAGATAATGTGTTCTAGTATTTTACACGGCACAGATGTTAGTGATACCGGTCTGTAATTTTCCGGTGCGTGTTCGTCTCCTTTTTTGAATACGCTCGAGATGTTATCATTTAACCAGTCTCTGGGCAGTGATCCAATATTTATTGACTTTTGGTATATTATTGCAAGTCCTGGTGCTAGTTTTTTGGAGCACTCCTTGAGGATTCTGTTTGGTATGCCGTCTGGTCCTGATGCTTTTGATGGATTTAGTTGTTTAAGCAGTTTTTCGACACCTTCATGTTTTATTTCAAGTGATGGGATTGAGTTCTTTATGTATTGTGATGTTTTAGGCAGTGTTTTGTCGTTGTCTCTGGTGAATACTCATTTGAACTGTAACTTTTTTGTTGTATCATTAGTTCTGTCTTCCCTTTATTGTCATTCACTAAATGGCCATTGCTTTTCAACGGTGATACTCCTATGTTGTCTTGAAGTTGTTTTCTAGATTTGATGTATTTCCAAAAAGGTTTTGAATTGTTGTTATCCAGTCCTTCCATTGTGGTGTTGTTGATGTATTCCCATTCAGCCTTTCGGACTTGTCGTTTGCATTTTTTTTGGAAATGTTTCAGTGTAGTTTGACCAGTTCTTTGTTCTCTTTGTTTGTTGGTATCGCCTGGTTTTCTTTTTGAACATTTTCCTAATTTTGTGGTTTATCCATGGTAGACTTGTTTTAGAGCGGTTGAGTTTTGATGGTATGTTCTTATCTAAATTTGAGTAGAGTTCGTTTTTGAATGTTTCCCACAATTCTTGTACTGTAGCATCATTTTGATACATATCAGTGATTTTGGTTGATAGTATATTCAGTTCTTTATGGAGATCTTCCCATTTTGCTTTTGAGTACTAGTATATGTAGCATTTTACTCTGGTAGTGTGGTTTTGTGTTTCGACTTACAGCTTTGACTTAACTTGATGGACAATGGGAACAGCTCAACATTCTGAACATTTCTGACCCTGTCAGATTTTCTCTATAGTGGTTTTCAAAACAAAAGACAAAGCTTGCATTTCACCCCTATGTTCTAATTTTAGCCATGTCGGGCATCTTGGTTGGCAGGCGGGATCATCGGACACATTTTGAACACTAAATACCCAATGACAATTGTGGCCAAGTTTGGTTAAATTTGGCCCAGTGTTTTAACAGGAGACGATTTTTGTGAAAAGTTAACGGACGGCGACAGACGACGGACGCCAAGACTTTGCGCACTCAACATACAGAAACAAGTGTCACTAAGTCAAAGAAAACAAAATGGCAATATGTTTGAATTAGAAAATTGACTCTTGCATGTTTACAAGCGGGGGGATCTGTGTCCCATGGACACATTCTTCTTCTATTTATTTCGTTTATTAGCCTGTGAAAGCTTTATTTAGATTCGGTATAGTTACAAACTACAAAACTTAAGCTCTAACGAGCTTTTTACCGGTCACATACAAACGTATACAACAATATAAAAAGCATAATTATTCAAGTAAACCAAAAAAAAAACAGAAAAGTAAATATAAAAGTAAGCACAGCACGAGCATGACAAATCAAATTATACATGCTAGCATTCACTATAAAAGAGCAAAGTAATGTAAAATAAGCACCGGCGACATTCCGAGTCATTCCAGGACTGTGTAAGACTCTTGAACTGAGAAAAACTGTTCTCCGTCCTGAAATGTTCCGGAAGGCTCTCCACAATGTAGTAGCAGCAAATTTGAAACGTTCCTTACCGTATGTAGTAGTTTTTACATGTGGAGAATCCAATATATTGTTATTTCTGAAAGAATATTTCGATTGTTGTACCTTTGATAAGTCTTATAGACATACAGGTGATAAACTATTAACATTTTTTAAAGTTTCCATTGCCATTGTTCGCATTCGTCTGACTTGCAGAGAAGGCATCTATTCTTTTTTTTAATTCGTCTCTGTGCAGAAAGGCACTTTTGGCAACTAAATTCGTTATTAACTTTAGGCAACACAACTTTTCCCCCTATTTACTTGGCTACTGGTGTACTACAACAACGTCGCTACTGAATCTTAGTCGTAAGTTTTTTGTGCCGAAACCGACTCCTGGATCTCAGGCCATATCGTATATATCGGAATTTTTGTTAGTTCCGATACGTCTCCTGTTTTTATAATAATTCCACATTCGGAACATCTCGGGTTCGTTCCTGACCTCTGAAAGTTTGAGAAAAGAAAAAAAAGTTAAAACCTGAAAAAAATTCTATTTGAATGAATAATGGTAAGGAAATGAACGGAAGTAAATGAATACACGACAGATATTTGCACAAGTTCGTTTCCTTCTTTTCTCAAAGGATTAACCCGATGACAGAAAACTGATATCTGCCTGTCACGTTTTTTTCACCATGTTGCATGTATGCATCATGTACAATAGGATAACATTATAGAGCCTATATTAGAGACAGTCATTGATTCTGAGCTTCAGGATATTAATTTCCATTTAAAATTGTGTATGTTTCAATTGCATCATTACAGATCATTTTGTAAGCCAATGTTGGGTAATTTTTAGTTTTCTTAATCTCTCGGGATAGCTGAAGTTACTATTACCTAGGATCTGATTAGTAGCTCATTTCTGTACACTATCTATTTTACCTACATTATTTGTTTCTTATATGGAGTCCACACATACACTGAACTATCATAATCTAAGTGTATCTTGCCAGTGGAAAGAAGATATCAGCATTTGTTGTTAAAAAGATCTTCATATGCAGCAAATATTGAGTTGACCTTGTTAAGCTTCACTGTATCTCAGACAGTTTACTTTTGCATGTTGCTTTTTAGCAATGAATTAACATCATGGTACCCTAATTTTTGTCAGTTATTTTGTCCAACCTCATCATGCTTATTTGTCATTTCTCTTCAAGTTTCTCAAGTTAACCCTTTTGATACTCAGTTTTTTTTCTAATTTATAAGCTTACCCTGAAATCATCACTAGGATAACACACCCATAAATAACATTTGCACTTCACAATGGTACATTTGGCTTTATCATATGGAGGCAAATTGTGTCTTGTCAGTTTTGTAATAGATGTTAGAAACATATACCATTGAACATGTTGTAACTGGTCTGAACTAATGGTATTGCTGCTATTATTTAGCCATTAACATGATTAAGAAAAATGGAAATAGATATCTTTTAAACTCTCCCATCTACAAGTCACCATCCCCAAAAGACAGATTAATCCAGTAACTATAAGACAGCTGTGAAACATGCACTTCCTCTTGTACTAAATTTCCATTTTGAAAAAAACAAATACATCAGCAATCTTTCTTTCCCACTGCAATTTAAACCTAGAACAACCTTCCATTGAGCTTTGTGATGAGTCACTCTGTATAGTTTTTTTAAATCAGCTGCTTTAACTTACACTTACAGTCATTAAAATTGTCATGTATTAACATTGATTCATTGATTCTGATTTAAAAAAGATATTTCCTATATTTATATACATGGTTCCTTGTAGTCATGTGCAGTACATGTACTAGTGGCACAAACTTCTATGTATTGAAAGGTCACAACAAAGTAGAAGTAGAAGACTGCCAACTTTGTGCCAGATTCAGATACCACATATAACAGACTAAAGCACAAACTTATAAAGAAATATGTTGAACATGGTATCATTTTCTAAATAGACTAGAATCTCATAACTACATGACAATTATTTGTAACTGAAAGAGGTAATTAAAATTTTTGACTCCATTGAAAAGGTCTGCATATATTGATAACTTTATGTTAGTACCAATGGTTTTAACCAATGCTTGAATCATCAATGATATGTCTGTATTATCATGATTTAAATTGTACATTTTTAGAGTAAATTTTCCATTTAATGAATTGTCATTTAATGATATTTTTCTTAATCTATTTTCATACAAATGAAAGTACCCTTAAATTGTTTTAGTTTGATGCCTTTAAACACTTTGAGTGTTTGGTTTTCTAGACTTTTGGTTGTCAACATAAATGAAGAAGGCTGTTCCAGAAATGTGTGTTGTACACACTGAAATTGATACCATACACATATGCAAATAGAGTAAAATTAGAATTGTTTACACATATGGATATAACATTACTCAGTTTCAGACTGAATCCAGTTTTAAGGATAGTTTCACTAAATGTCTTTTGATTTTATTCATTGAATCTTGTTGCTTTTCAGGTGTATCAGTTGAGATGAAAGTGAAATGGTTCTAGATAACTGAGTACATCAATTTCAATATGGCTTACACTGCAGAAAATGTAGAACAGGTGATTAATCAGTTCTTATAGATAAAACATTTCTTCTTGGTCGGCTAACAATTTACTAAACAAGGCCATTGACTCTTCAAGACTAGTTAACTAGTGATAATATTTTGATGATTTTTATGAGCCATGTTTTGTAATTGTCCTTTAATTCTTTCTTTTTGTGGTTATAGACTTATTAATAAAGGTTATAATTTATATACTGTAAGTGTTTTTGTTCAATCACTATGTCTGGTATTTTTATACCCCCGCTGTAGGCAATGGGGGCATTAAGTATTACCCTTGACCTTCCGTCTTTCCGTCCTTCCCATTTTCATTTTGGCACTCTAACATAAATTTAATTGATCTTAATTTTATGAAACTCATACACAATGCTAAGAACCAAAACTTGCAGACAGAGTTCGAATTTGGGCAGTGAGTCACTTACCGTTCAATAGTAATGCCCCTTTATACCTGGGAAAATTGCAAATTTTTCAGTTTCTGCACTCTAACTTTTAAGTTTGTCTCATCCAAATTTTATGAAACTTATACACAATGCTAAGAAACACAACTCGCAGACAGAGTTCAAATTTGGGCAGTATGTCATTTACTGTTCTAGAGGTATGCCCCTTTTTAACTTGGAAAATTGTAAACCTTGAGCAGGCCGCTGCTGCGGGGGCATCGTGGCCTAAGACACATTCTTCTTTTATTTCAACTGATAATCAAATTGCGCATTTATAGTTTGAAGCAATGCTTAAATAAATCTTTTGTTTTTTTCTGCTTTGAAATTCTGTACAGGTTTTATTTGTTTGTTCTTGACATTGCACAAATTCGTGTCTACCAGTGCTGTTTGTAAAGTCTACTCTGAAGTACAGCCACCAGCATGAGATTGTCGAATGGCATGATTTATTATCAACAGGTTGAGTACTTTGAACTTTCCCTTGTAACTTGGATTATTTTTTGATATGGTATTGTTTACAATCGGTTTGTTTGCTCATCAGGGTTTGTTATTCCATTGTTATAAAGTTCAGTGCTTTTCCTGCGCTTGTTATTAGTGTATTTTCCAGTTCACTGATCTACATTAAGGGAAAGGATTGAGATCTAATAGTTAAAACCCACCATATTCAAGTGCCTGTCACAAATCGGGATCCTCATCAGCGGTTGTTATTTCTCTTATCTTAATGTTTTAATTATTCAGAGAATTTATTGTTAATGGCAGACCTTTGATAGTCAGAAACTCTATTAAATTTATTCACATGGTTTTTTAGACTCAGTGCAGAGTAGCACCATCCTTGAATAGCCTGTGGTAATCCCTGCTCTACTACACAGTGCATCTTACTTTGTCTTAGCTTATAAGTCCTTTTTCATTGAGATGCATTAAATATATAGGCAAAAGCAATTAGATGTTTGATACATTTGATCAGTTATAATTGTTTGTATTATTTTAGGCAGTGCTTCAGTTTTATCAGCAGTCAATGGTTCATCCACAGATACATGAATGGTTAACTAAAGCACAGATTTCAACAGAAGCCTGGTCATTTTCTTGGGAACTTATGGGTAGTCATAAAGTATGTAAGATTAGCAGAATAAATTTTTGTAAAAATGAATATTTAAAATGTTCAGTCATAATGAAATTCTGGTTTATTTTGTCATTTGGTGAGTATTAAGATTGACCAGTTTCTGCTTAGTAGTTACTCTGGTTAATAAATTATTGAATTAAAGGTCATCTTCAGTGGGAGATATTTTTGCATAACAGATACGTGTATACTGTTACCATAAACATTTGATGTCACATTTAAGAATTTCTGTTTTCATTGTAATCTATGTGGTTACCATCAATTCTGTAAAGCTTGAATGTTTAGTTTATATATAAGAAAGAGGTGCTTTCATGGATCGAGATATCTACGAATAAAAAAAAATTATACTTTTTGTCCCGCTGAATATTGAGTACTTAGATACGCTAATCAGACAGAGACAGTGTTAAGTCTCTGCATAAAGCTTCATACTTATGAAGGTAGCTGAGCTGAATAATCCATATCTGGTATATAGATGCCTTGTGGTCTGACATATATGTCTGTTGTCCTTGACCTCATTTAACTGGTTCAATGACTGCTTGAAATACCTGTATAATATGTATGAGTAATAAGGCAACCATATTTGATATAAAACAATTTCAAGATATATAAGTCTGTCTCACAGCATTGATCTGATTATGACCTAATTTTCATGATCCATTGGTCAATGTAAAGTTTTCCTGATTAGGTCACTTTCTCAGATACTAAAGTAATAAAGTAATCGGTCAACTATATTCTGTGTATAGAGTGATTGTAAAGTTTATATGTCAGTTTGACATAGTTCATCTGTCTTTTACCTCTTTTTCATTGGTCTAGCATTCATTGGTCAACATCCAGTTTATGTGATTAGGTTTGTAATTTAAATTCTAAAAATGGTTCATTTGATCCTTACCTTATTTTCATGGATTATTGATAATGTAATGTTACTTTTAGCAGAGACATATACATATATATAGTAAAATGACTTTCAACATAAAATTCAATTTTAATCAATTAAGCTGGCAAAACATTTCGAAGTGTGCACTCTTGTTTTGTTTTTGTTCCACTGTGAACAATCAGGGAAAAGATAATTCCCCAAACTCTTGGAAAATATCCTAATTTGAATGTGGGCTTATTAGAACTTAAAAAAAACATTTTTGTGGCCCCACCATAAAGTGGTCTGGCCATATAGTTTTACCCTTATCCATCATTCCGCAACAAACAGTTATATAGACTTTTTTCTAAACGCCTTCACATATTGAGCTGATTCTTAGTATGTAAGTCTACTATGATGAGTTATAGGTTGAGTTAACGTTTGGTTCCGATCCACTGATTTTTGCCGAAATTACGGCCTTTGACTTTGAAAATTTTGTGAAATTAACAGTTATATAGACTTTCATTCTCAAATTTCCTCTCCTAAAAATGGCTTCAAGCTTTTTTTGCCAGCGTGGCCATTCGTGTCTTTCAGACAGATCTAGTTTTCATCTATTATATTTGTGTCATATGAATGTTCATTAATTGCTTGAATTTGCCAATAAATAAACGATAATGAAAAATTTAATCATATGTTTATTGTCTTTTATAGACTGCAGAAGTACAGTATTTCGGTGCAAATTCCTTACATGTGAAAATTTCTAGGTTTTGGTGAGTGAAGATTATGTAACAAAAGAGAAAGTTGAAAAATGCAATTTGAGTTTGCCATATACACAAGACACATTAAACAAACACTTCATATTATTCGAAGTAGTCTTTTCCATTAATATTAGTACATTTGTAAGTTAAAGTAACTTATAATTCTCCTCTCAGGGGAAATAAGAAGTGTAAGCATGCGTATGAATGCACTCTTTCCTCACATCCATATCATCAACAAATTAATTGAAAGAGCTTAATATTGTTCTTTCTTAAAATCATTTGAACCCACAATCCCATTTCAAGTACCTTCTAGCCGCTTTCCACTTTTAATTACCTTTCAACTTCCATACAAGCTTTTTTTCTAGTATGACAGGAGGCTGTTATACCTTAGAAGATACATCTATAAATTAACTCGGACCATAATACTGAACCATATTACTGGAGTATGGTATGTAGATAAGACTGATAGATACCCATATTTTTCAGGCATGAAGTGCCCCCTGATCAGTATGATGGTTTACAAAGCAGATTATTGGATAAAATCATAGAATTTGGTGCTGGACCTAAGATTGTACTGACAAGGCTGTGTGTTGCTGTAAGTTGAATGCTTCAATATAAAATTGCCACTTTTAAGGTGGTTTTCTAATTAATGGTTAACCCATGTCATTAATTTGATTGAGATATAGAATTTATGTTAAAGTAGATAAAAGGATGAATAACAACACTGCATACATACAAACATATTAAGATAAAATGATGAATAACAACACTGCATATATACAAACATATTAAGATAAAATGATGAATAACAACACTGCATATATACAAACATATTAAGATAAAAGGATGAATAACAACACTGCATACATTCAAACATGAATTCAGACAAAAGGATGAATAACAACACTGCATATATTCAAACATGAATTCAGATAGAATGATGAATAACAACACTGCATACATTCAAACATGAATTCAGACAAAAGGATGAATAACAACACTGCATACATTCAAACATGAATTCACACAAAAGGATGAATAACGACACTGCATATATTCAAACATGAATGCAGACAAAAGGATGAATAACAACACTGCATACATACAAACATGAATTCATACAAAAGGATGAATAACAACACTATATATATTCAAACATGAATTCAGATAGAATGATGAATAACAACACTGCATGTATTCAAACATGAATTCAGACAAAAGGATGAATAACGACACTGCATATATTCAAACATGAATTCAGACAAAAGGATGAATAACAACACTGCATATATTCAAACATGAATTCAGACAAAAGGATGAATAACAACACTGCATACATTCAAACATGAATTCAGACAAAAGGATGAATAACAACACTGCATACATTCAAACATGAATTCAGACAAAAGGATGAATAACAACACTGCATATATTCAAACATGAATTCAGATAGAATGATGAATAACAACACTGCATACATTCAAACATGAATTCAGACAATAGGATGAATAACAACACTGCATATATTCAAACATGAATTCAGATAGAATGATGAATAACAACACTGCATACATTCAAACATGAATTCAGACAAAAGGATGAATAACAACACTGCATACATTCAAACATGAATTCAGACAAAAGGATGAATATCAACACTACATACATACAAACATGAATTCAGACAAAAGGATGAATAACGACACTGCATATATTCAAACATGAATTCAGACAAAAGGATGAATAACAACACTGCATATATTCAAACATGAATTCAGACAAAAGGATGAATATCAACACTGCATACATTCAAACATGAATTCAGACAAAAGGATGAATAACAACACTGCATACATTCAAACATGAATTCAGACAAAAAGATGAATATCAACACTACATACATACAAACATATTAAGATAGAAGAATGAATAACAATATTGCATATGTACAAACATGTATTCAGATAAAAAGGATGAACTGCACTTTCAGCTAAGGGAAACTTATATTGGGTTAAATGATTAAATATTTTTGTTTAAATGTTTCAGATTTCTTCATTAATACTTCATATGACACCAGAACACTGGCCTGACCCATTGTTGACATTGGTACAAAGTTTTCAGGGAGATAATATTCCTAACTTAAATGTAAGATATACTAATTGTACCAGTACAATGTAGCACAAAGTTTACATAACTAGAAAAAGTCCAACTACAAGTCTTTAAACTTCTTCAAGAGACTACTCTATTGAAATTATTCTCTGACTGAACAATAAGATGCAAATCAGTTCATGTAGATTTATCAGGATTAAAAATAAAATATCATTATGGAAAACAATAAACTAAGTTTTTGTCATTATCTTATTGGTATATATTTGTGTATTAAAACAGTCTTTATAATGGTATTACCAATATTTGTACATAATGTTTAATTTTACATTCCAGAGGATGTTATTGATGAACGATAAATTGTAATTTAATCATGTTTTAAGCAGTTATCTAATATTTTTATATTTAAAAATTGTGTGCAGAAATTGGTTTGATGAATTACCTGATATTATTTAGTGTATGATGTACAGCATGAATAATAATGAAAGACTATTTTACTTAATGTGTTCAATGCTTTTTATATTGCTGTTTAAAGAAATTTAAGAAAAGATATGTATTTCTGTAGTACCAAGAAAATCAGTTTAGATTTTAAACTTATGAAAAGATAAGTATTATGAGAATACATCCATTCTATGGAATCCCAAATTGAAAGGAGAGATAGTTAGAAAAACTTTACTAGAATTTCCCTTACCATATTACATTAGAACTTTGGTAAAAGAGTATTTCGAATTATTTATACATATTCTAGATTACCATTATATTTTTATGTCCCCACCTTGGGCAATGGGGGCATTAAGTGTTACCCTTGATCGTCCTTCAGTCTTTGTGTCCATCCCATTTTTGTTTCCACACTCTAACTTAAGTTTGTCTCATCCAAATTTTATGAAACTCAAACATAATGCTACTAACCACAACATTCTCTACAGGGTTCGAATTTGGGTTGTGAGTCGTTTACCGTTCTAGAGTTATGCCTCTTTTTAACTTGAAAAATGGCAAAGCTTGAGCACGGGCATTCGTGTCCTCATACACATTCTTCTTTTATCCTTTAAAAAAACCTCGATACATATGGTATTTCTGACTTCACAATATTCAAACTTACTATAAAATGCCATGCTCTGAACATGAAACTTCTTTTCACTATTCCAAAGATATCTATAAATGAAGAACATTGCCAACTAAAGCCATTTTGTTTTCAGAGTACACAGAGGCTACATATATTGTTAGAGACTATCAGGGTGCTACCAGAGGAGGTAGGATACATTTGTATAAAAGTTCTAATTGTAACAGATTTTCTAATTTATAAAATATACCACCATATTAAGCTGTCAAAATAATACCAAATAAAATATTTGAATTGTCATAGCTGATTAAAAAGTTTGTTAATTACCAGACTAGGAGTGACATCTACTGAAGAATTGAATTGTGTTATTTTGTTCCAAGTTTTTGCTTTAAAAAAAAGAAATTGTGGGTAACATCAATAAGAAGAACCTAACTATGTCATAATAAATTTAAAAAAAAAACTTAATGATGGTTATCAAAAATGAAAAAAATTGTAGTTTAAAAATTGCATACTAAATGAATTTTGTCATTATAGTGTGCAAATATGTTACACAATGAGTACATGTTAATTGCTAATAATATAGAATTAATGAAACAAATGTTATTTACAGTTTTTCAGTTCCAGTCTTGCTCAGAACAGACGATCTCTACTAAGACAGGAACTTACAAAAGGTTTACAGCATGGTATGTGTTTGTTATTAATTATTTTTAAGTACAGTCATTAATAAATTTCATTTTTCCAGTTATTTCCTTTAATGATATGATAAACAAATCATAAGATAACATAAAAAAAATATTTGACGGATAATATCAGTGAAATTTAAACTTGATGATTTAAAAGTTTAGTTAATCAAGACTGAAAAATGATCCAGTTCACAGGATCAAGATAATTCAGTTACCATCTTCTCTGTTACAACTCTGTAATTGATTAACTTCAGGAATTTTAGAAACTAAGAATTTATGTATATTTCAGTTCTGACCTTACTGCAGAGTCTGATGATACCTACTTCACCAGAAGATGCGCAAGACCAGGCCCTCAAGTGCTTCTCTAGCTGGGTTGAGTTTGGTGTGCCTGTAATGGAGGGAGAACCTGTGATACTACAAGTCTTTCATACCTTGTATAATCCTAATCTGTTTGATACAGCTGTGGAAAGTCTAGTCAATGTTTTCTCTCATCCTGATTCCCTTAGGTTAACCTCTATCTTCAATTAATTAAAAACAAGAGTGCACATGCTGAAATGTCTCACCTGCTTTACTGGTCATGATTGTATTAATGTTGACAGTCTTTAAGATAAGGGTTTTACTGCAGGTATAACTTAACTTAATATTATCAGTGATACATGAAAATGAGGTCAAGTTCAGATGAAACCTTCCAAAAGGACATTTACACCTTACAATCATTCCATACACCACATATAGCTGACCTATTGCTTACTGTATCTGAGACAAGGACTTTACCACTAAAGTGATTGTTAAAAGTTCATCAAATTGTTCATACGTCCTTATTTTTGATTATCTGTATATGATATGTATGCTAAGTATTAAAAATGTGAATTTCATATAATGAAATAGGGACACAGTGGCATGATGAAAACCACCACATTAATTTCTTAAAATACAGTATTTAAATAAGGTTGAAATTCCTTTTGAAAGTGATCTAAAGTATGCCCATTTCTGTTAATTTTCTTTACTGCAGTCCTTGGTTTATTTGGAAATTACATTTTCCCTCAAAATGGATAAAAAAAAAATAATTACATTATGGATTTTATTGAATTATGTATTTTGCTCCAAGAATTACACAATGTCATTCCTTCTAAATCAGATGTATATTTCAGATTTCCATACACAATACAGAAATTCCTTCCAAATGTATTACAATTATCTGAGATGTTTAAAAAGGCCACAGAATCTTCTGATATGGTAAGGACCGCTAAAACATATGGTAGATTTACTTCTGTAAGAAAAAAATTTTGGGATGTGCATGTAATATTTACTAGTTGATATTAAACAACAAACAACCAATGAATCATTCAGAAATAAGTAAAAAAGAAATATTACCAACTACCCATATGACTGTAGTATTCAGATTTACCAATATTGTTTGTTCAAAAATATTGGTTTGGGTCAGGTTATATCGAAATTGTCTAGCTGGCTCAAGGGACCCCCCTTGAAGGTGGCAGTACAATTTCAGTTATTCAAAATGAAGAGTAGTTGACATTTACAATTGAAAAATGAGAAAGGGTGTTATTAGCAACGAGAAAACTATGAACAAAGGTTTACTATTATGCTTCATTTAAATAATAAAAATCTGCTAAAATACGAATTCAAATACAAATACCTAAATTGAGGTAAATTATATGGCCTTCCAAATACCGTTTCGATCCCTAACATCACTGAAGAGACATTAATTGTCGAAATCCGGATATGGTGTACAAATTTTTGCACCTCATGTTTGCGGTATACCATTTTCTCCGCAAGTGTATTGTTTTCTGTTTGGTATTAAATTAAATATAAGATCCATGTTACATCTGGTGATCAATTTATTTGGCAATCGTCAATGGCAGTCAGCAGGGTTTAAGAACATCAGTTGTTCGACCTGTTAGTCAAATGGGTTTTGTTAAAATATACTTTTCACTTTTTTGGTCTTTTGGAAAATGTTGTTTGTGCAGTATTTAGACTCCTCTACCAAGAAATTTGTTTTACATGCACACGTATAAACATTGCGGTTTTTATACGACAGCAAAAAAATTTTGCGGTCGTATATTGGTATAACGTTGGTGTCTTCGTCGTCCGTAGACACATTGGTTTTCGCACTCGTAACTTTAGTTTAAGTGAATGGATCTCTATGAAATTTTACCATAAGGTTCAATACCACAAAAGGAAGGTTGGGATTGATTTTGGGGTTATGGTACCAACAGTTAAGGAATTAGGGGCCAAAAATAACATTTTTGTAACTTCCAGACATAACTTGTGTGTTAGTGTATGGATCTCTCTGACATTGTACCACAAGGTTCCATATCACAAAGGGAATGCTGGGATTGATTTTGGGGGTAATTGCCTCCAAATTTTCGGAATTAGGGGCCAAAAAAGGGGCAAAAAACAAGCATTTTTCTAGTTTCATGACAATAACTTGTGTGTAAGTGTATGGATCTTTATGAAATTGTACTACAAGATTCCATATCACAAAGGGAAAGCTGGGTTTGAGTTTGGGGGTAATTGTCCTAAATGTTTAGGAATTTGGGGCCAAAAAGGGGCCAAAAAACAAGCATTTTTGTCGAGCCTTCAACTTTTGTCGAAAAAGCGAGACATAGCGATCCTACATTCCGTCGGCATTGTCCACCAATATTCACTCTGTGGTTAAAGTTTTTGAAATTTTAATAACTTTCTTAAACTATCCTGGATTTCTACCAAACTTGGACAGAAGCTTGTTTATGATCATAAGATAGTATCCAGAAGTAAATTTTGTAAAAAACAAAATCCTGTTTATCCGTATTTTACTTATAAATGGACTTAGTTTTTCTGCCAGGAAACATTACATTCACTCTGTGGTTAAAGTTTTTAAGATTTTAATAACTTTCTCAAACTATCCTGGATTTCTACCAAACATGACCCATATGACTGTAGTATTCAGATTTACCAATATTGTTTGTTCAAAAATATTGGTTTGGGTCAGGTTATATCGAAATTGTCTAGCTGGCTCAAGGGACCCCCCTTGAGGGTGGCAGTACAATTTCAGTTATTCAAAATGAAGAGTAGTTGACATTTACAATTGAAAAATGAGAAAGGGTGTTATTAGCAACGAGAAAACTATGAACAAAGGTTTACTATTATGCTTCATTTAAATAATAAAAATCTGCTAAAATACGAATTCAAATACAAATACCTAAATTGAGGTAAATTATATGGCCTTCCAAATACCGTTTCGATCCCTAACATCACTGAAGAGACATTAATTGTCGAAATCCGGATATGGTGTACAAATTTTTGCACCTCATGTTTGCGGTATACCATTTTCTCCGCAAGTGTATTGTTTTCTGTTTGGTATTAAATTAAATATAAGATCCATGTTACATCTGGTGATCAATTTATTTGGCAATCATCAATGGCAGTCAGCAGGGTTTAAGAACATCAGTTGTTCGACCTGTTAGTCAAATGGGTTTTGTTAAAATATACTTTTCACTTTTTTGTGTCTTTTGGAAAATGTTGTTTGTGCAGTATTTAGACCCCTCTACCAAGAAATTTGTTTTACATGCACACGTATAAACATTGCAGTTTTTATACGACCGCAAAAAAATTTTGCGGTCGTATATTGGTATAACGTTGGTGTCTTCGTCGTCCGTAGACACATTGGTTTTCGCACTCGTAACTTTAGTTTAAGTGAATGGATCTCTATGAAATTTTACCTTAAGGTTCAATACCACAAAAGGAAGGTTGGGATTGATTTTGGGGTTATGGTACCAACAGTTAAGGAATTAGGGGCCAAAAATAACATTTTTGTAACTTCCAGACATAACTTGTGTGTTAGTGTATGGATCTCTCTGACATTGTACCACAAGGTTCCATATCACAAAGGGAATGCTGGGATTGATTTTGGGGGTAATTGCCTCCAAATTTTCGGAATTAGGGGCCAAAAAAGGGGCAAAAAACAAGCATTTTTCTAGTTTCATGACAATAACTTGTGTGTAAGTGTATGGATCTTTATGAAATTGTACTACAAGATTCCATATCACAAAGGGAAAGCTGGGTTTGAGTTTGGGGGTAATTGTCCTAAATGTTTAGGAATTTGGGGCCAAAAAGGGGCCAAAAAACAAGCATTTTTGTCGAGCCTTCAACTTTTGTCGAAAAAGCGAGACATAGCGATCCTACATTCCGTCGGCATTGTCCACCAATATTCACTCTGTGGTTAAAGTTTTTGAAATTTTAATAACTTTCTTAAACTATCCTGGATTTCTACCAAACTTGGACAGAAGCTTGTTTATGATCATAAGATAGTATCCAGAAGTAAATTTTGTAAAAAACAAAATCCTGTTTATCCGTATTTTACTTATAAATGGACTTAGTTTTTCTGCCAGGAAACATTACATTCACTCTGTGGTTAAAGTTTTTAAGATTTTAATAACTTTCTCAAACTATCCTGGATTTCTACCAAACATGGACAGAATAAAATTGAGAATGGAAATGGGGAATGTGTCAAAGAGACAACAACCCGACCATAGAGCAGATAACAGCCGAAGGGCACAAATGGGTCTTCAATGCAGCGAGAAACTCCCGCACCCGGGGACGTCCTTCTATTTTTAGATAAGCGATTTTGAAGATTGAGACGTGTAGATACCCTTTGAACGAGTTTAGTATTTAATATTTTTCCATTTCTAAGCTTCATATTTGTTTTTTGTTATGAGGATTTTAAAAGAAAGGAGCAAAGACTGGCGTCCAGAATATGAACCAGCACACAATAAAACAACAGAAGCTTGTTTATGATCTTAAGATAGTATCCAGAAGTAAATTTAAAAAAAAAAATCCTGTTTTTCCGTATTTTACTTATAAATGGACTTAGTATTTCTGCCAGGAAACATTACATTCACTCTGTGGTTAAAGTTTTAAAAATTTTAATAACTTTCTTAAACTATCCTGGATTTGTACCAAACATGGACAGAAGTTTGTTTATGATCAAAAGCTAGTATCTAGAAGGAAATTTTTATTAAAATTTTGTACTTGTTTATCCATATTTTACTTATAAATGGACTTAGTTTTTCTTCCAGTTAACATTACTGCAGTTCAATTTTTTAAAACATTTATTAGATTCATAAACTATCCTGGATTTTTACCTAACTTGGACAGAAGCTTCTTACAATAAAAAAATTGTATCGAGAGGAATATTTTTATTAAATTTTTTCATCATCTCATTTTTGTTGAGCCTGCGATTAACAGCAAAAGTAGGCGAGACACTGGGTTCCGCGGAACCCTTACAAATTTTTCTAGTTTCCAGACAATAACTTGTGTTCAAGTGTATGGATCTCTCTGAAATTGTACTGCAAGGTACCATATCACAAAGGGAAGGCTGGGATTGAGTTTGGGGGCGATGAATCATAAGGGGGTTCAAAAAATTTAGGGGGGGAGGTTTCCTTTTTTTTCTTTAAAATTTTCCATTTTGAATTGATTATTTCTGATTTATATATAAAAGCAAATAATAATGATATGGTTTGAGTAGGTAAATTTAAAATTTTTAAGTTCTTAGACCACATTCATTCTGTGTCAGAAAACCTATGCTGTGTCAAATATTTAATTACAATCCAAATTCAGTGCTGTATCAAGCTTGAATGTTGTGTCCATACTTGCCCCAACTGTTCAGAGTTTGACCTCTGCGGTCGTATCAAGCTGCGCCCAGCGGAGCATTTTATTATCCAACGCAATCATAGGTTTGAACGTTGTTTTCAATTTAGACTTGTTTACATTTTTTCGTTTGGGCTTGTATTATATTTTCCATCGAGTTTATATGATCCGTTCATCCTATTTTGACTCTTTAAAATTCAAGAGTCTATCCTAAATTGAGGTAAATTATATGGCCTTCCAAATACCGTTTCGATCCCTAACATCACTGAAGAAACATTAATTGTCGAAATCCGGATATGATGTACAAATAATTTAATGATGGCAGGGATCATTTGACGGGTGGCGGAAGATATTTTAGCGATGGCGGTGTGCCATCATGAAACAGGTCATGGAGATCCCTGGTGAACTTTTACTTTATCATTCAAAATACTGTTACTTAGTACGTGTAATAAAAACAATTTCTGTTTTTAAACAAAATGGTTGAACTGTGAGACAAATTGTAGAATTTTTCCTTTCTAACATAAGAATTACTTTGATTTATATACAGGATGTGTGTCAAGGAATTTGTCAGATAGTTGTGGCATTAGCAGAGAATCATACCAAGCTAATCATTGATGCCTCATTGTGTCTGGATGATGAAAGGAGAAATAATGTTTTAAATCTGATAAAAATGGTTCTGGTAAATACTTATTTTAAAAATAATTAGAATAATGCTGCTTACAACCTGAGAAATAGTGATTAACTAATTAATGATTTACTATAATGCGCTTCAATTTTGTATTTGATTTAGCTTTCCAACTGTTTTGATTCAAGGGCCACTGATGAATCTTATGTAGATGAAACTTACATATATGGCATACTTAATTGTAAGCCTGGTATCTGATTGGTTTTTACAATGTATTTCTTTAATGTGTACAAATAACCATGATGTGATGTTTGCTTGCTAGCTAAATAAGATCAATTCCTTTGTTTATTGAAAGAGTAACTATTTCTTCTATAAAGCATTGAATTGGGATTGGTTACAAAACAAGGACTCCAAAACTCAGATTGACCATTTGTTTCTAGATTTACAGCAAAAAACTTCACTTCTATGCACAAAACATACACTCATATAAACCTGGGGAGAAAAACACACACTAAGTGTTTATACAATACATTGTAACTGTTTGTTTTAGGTAATAATGATACAACTTGGATAACATCCCTATCCACAACTATCAGTTAATTTATGGGTTTAGTCATTTTAATAAAGGGCAATCTTTTTTTTTCATTACTTGTGAAAGTGATCAGATAATTTAGTTTGATGTCAAAATATTTGAAATGTTTTCTATGTCTTGTTGCATCTAGAACTTGTTTAAGTAATTGTGAAAACTCCCACAAAATGTAGAAATGTAGTGTATTCAGGAAAAGTAAGGGCACAGTCAGAATATGATCATTTTATTTTATACGTATATTTTGGAATTTTGAAAGCCTCAATACCTGATTTGGAAAAATCATCAATAGACGTATTTACACTTGTATGCAAATTTGTCCGCCATTACGTAAAATCACACAAGTTCCCGTAAGATTTGACATCACAATTTTAAAAATTTGACGTCACAATAAAAAAGTGATTGTTGCTTGACGTCAGAAGGTTATTCGGAGCAGATCTAAGGTCATTTGGAGACAAAATTCAGCTAAATACCAAAAGTGTAAATACGTTTATTCCCCCTTGTATATGCCTGAATTAAGAAAATGTCAATTCAAAGCACTCTAATGTGTTATTACTGTATGTTTATTGTTATGGGAATCAATAAAAAAAATAAGTAGAAGAAAAAATGAATAAGGAAGGAACAAGTTGCATAGATACAAAGAGTGATGAAGAAAAGGGGGGGGGGGGGGGGCATTTTTGGTAAAAGAAGGATGATTTGTTAATATTTATCAGAAGACTTGTTTATGATAACATATATAAAAGTGAAAAGTAAACAAGAATCTGCACAATTCACCTGACACTCATTTTGACTGAAATAGATATTATCTATCTTTTATAGGCCTGCACATCAATTCCAGGTCATTATCCTATAGATGAGAACTTTAGTAACATGCCATTTACCTTTTGGTATGTTCTACAGGTAGGCCAATAATTAGATATTAGATATAATATTGCAATGACAAAATCAAAAGTGGTTGACCCATATGGAAAGCTGTAGGTAATGGTTCTGAGATATTTGGCATGATCAATTTTATGAAAAGTTGTAAATGACATAATTTCATTTAGAAAAATGATGCATTTTCTTGAAATGTCACCAAAATCTACAATAAACAGGCAATTTGTTTCATAATAAAAAAGGCTATTCTTGTAATAGAATGGTTTGAAAAGATGAATATCCCTTGAAAAAGTTTTTTAGAATATAAAATACAGGTTGAATTCCGTTTTATGGGATTCACATGTACTCTACCAATGTTATGGTCCTTTTCATCTTCAAAAGAAAAAAAATGTGTAGTAGATTGGAATATCTTTAATATTTGTTTTTGGTATAACAGGATGAGATTTGAGAATCTGACCAATTAAGCTTTGTGTTTGATATTACAGGATGAGACTTGAGAATCTGACCAATTAAGCTTTGTGTTTGATATTAAAGGATGAGATTTCAGAGTCTGACCAATTAAGCTTTGTCTTTGTAATTACAGGATGAGATTTGAGAATCTGACCAATTAAGCTTTGTCTTTGATATTACAGGATGAGATTTGAGAATCTGACCAATTAAGCTTTGTCTTTGATATAACAGGATGAGATTTGAGAATCTGACCAATTAAGTTTTGTGTTTGATATTACAGGATGAGATTTTAGAATCTGACCAATTAATATTTGTTTTTGATATTACAGGATGAGATTTTAGAGATTGACCAATTAAGCTTTGTCTTTGATATTACAGGATGAGATTTTAGATTTGTCTTTGATATTACAGGATGAGATTTTAGATTTGTCTTTAATATTACAGGATGAGACTTGAGAATCTGACCAATTAAGCTTTGTGTTTGATATTAAAGGATGAGATTTCAGAGTCTGACCAATTAAGCTTTGTCTTTGTAATTACAGGATGAGATTTGAGAATCTGACCAATTAAGCTTTGTCTTTGATATTACAGGACGAGATTTGAGAATCTGACCAATTAAGCTTTGTCTTTGATATTACAGGATGAGATTTGAGAATCTGACCAATTAAGTTTTGTGTTTGATATTACAGGATAAGATTTTAGAATCTGACCAATTAATATTTGTTTTTGATATTACAGGATGAGATTTTAGAGATTGACCAATTAAGCTTTGTCTTTGATATTACAGGATGAGATTTTAGAGTCTGACCAATTAATATTTGTTTTTGATATTACAGGATGAGATTTTAGAATCTGACCAATTAAGCTTTGTCTTTGATATTACAGGATGAGATTTTAGATTTGTCTTTGATATTACAGGATGAGATTTTAGATTTGTCTTTAATATTACAGGATGAGATTTGAGAATCTGACCAATTAAGCTTTGTGTATGATATTACAGGATGAAATTTGAGAATCTGACCAATTAAGCTTTGTGTTTCATATTACAGGATGAGATTTTAGAGTCTGACCCATCAAAATGTCAGCTGTTGCTGCCTGTGATACAACCATTCTTTTTTTCACTGGTAGAAATTCTGTTAATCAAAGTTCAGTACCCTGATGATCAAACATATACTTCTTGGACCTCAGGTAAAACATCTTATCAAATTCCTTGTACAGAGTAGTTCAATTTATTACTGGTAATTAGTCGAAAAAATCAGAATAAGTTTGTGGCACTTAAAGTACTTTCGAAATTTGTGCGCTACATTTCGTATGCTACAATGCTTATGTTATTACGTCACAGTAAGAATTCACTGTTCAATAATGTCATTTACACGGATTGACCTTGGTTCAACTAGTGTAACTCATTTATAAAAACTACCTCGAGATCGATATATTGGTAATAAGAGAACTAAAAATGTGAAATTAATTCGTTTAACAGGTTACCATACTAGGATTAGGTTCACTAAGGGATCTTTTTGGTATAAGCCTAGGGAAACAAAGTATTATAAAGTCTTGTGATTTTTATGTACAAATAATGAATAGTTATATGTGAAATATATACTCCTATGTCTTTTGAATATCATTGATGCATAGTTTGACACATATGAATTGGAATTTGTTTAGTTTTAGTAACTGTATTTCAGATGAAGTAGAACAATTCCGATGTTACAGACAAGACATAGGGGATACCATGGTAAGTCAAACAGAACCTTGTTAGATAAGATTATGAAGAGGAGGCTTCAAATTTATTTCTGAATTCAATTTGAATTACATTTATATAGGAAATCAAAAGTTTTTCATCTTGGAGAAACAATACCATGTGCTTGGAGATATATTATCAGATATAGTTATGGCATATTTATTCCTATGAGGGGGCCTCGGTGGCCGAGTGGTCTAAGTAGTCTAACTACTGTATCACTAGCCAGTCAACACTGAGGTTGTGAGTTCGAATCTCGCACGGGGCAGGTGCACTCAACTCCAATCTTAATTGACTAGGATTGTCAGTTTTCCTACCAAAGGTTAGTGGTTCTCTCCTGGGACTCCGGCTTCCTCCATCAATAAAAACTGACCGCCACGAAATAGCACAATAGTGTTGAAAGTGGTGTTAAAACACCAGTCAATCAATCAATCAATATTCCTATGATTACTTATCTGATGTGTACTACCTCACTTTATTTTTCTGTTTGGTAGGTTTATCAAAATTGTTATGCATTTGAATTATTTACCCTATTCATACATTTCTAGAATACACACATGAAATTGTGTGCATGTGAATTTGATTATCAGATTTAGTTTCAAAATTTATCCTGTTAGCTGATGAATTACATGTTGAAAGAAGTAAATGAGGTTCTGTAGCTTTTTTCTGTTTGTCATGGGTTCAGTTTGCTAGAAGAAGTTTTAGTTTGATTGATAAATTTTGTAGACCTTGCACATTTGAAATCCTTGGTTGGTTTTTGAACCAATTTTTTTTTCTTGTAAGTATGTTGACTTTTTGTTCATAATTGTTTGAATATGTTGCTTGTTTTAAGTGATTTGTTCACTGACTATGTGTATACATAGGAAATAGAAGTATTGACATGAAAAATTTTCTTTTCAAACACTTCCCCAGATAAATTAAACTCAATAATGAAAATTGTGAAGATGTGGTGTATACATTTATGAGACATAAATGCAACAACACAAAAAAACAAATAATATTTAGAGATATAGAGGTCAATGTACTTAACAAAAGACATTATGTAAAGCTCTATTTTGCCCTTGATATGAAATACATGTTATACTCTTCATCTGTGTTTTTCAATGCACACATTTAGCATTATCAACATCTAGAATATAAAAAATCGTAAGATTTATTAAATCACCCAATATAGAATTGAATGTGCTTTTTTGAGAAAATTATACGAAATGAAAGCATGGCATGATCACATTTTTAGCAAAAAGTACTTTCCTGCTTCATGCAAAATGTGAAGTGCACTTGCTATTATTTCGTTTTAAAGTTTTTAAAACAGCATTCATTCTATTATGTATAATTCTATTTTTGTGTTGCCTTGGCGAAGTTGAAAAAGCGAGACTTATGCATGCTGTTTGCAGCGGCACAGTGGGTGGCGTCAACAATACATTAGTTTGTGATAAGGTCAGTTTATGGGGAACCATTAGTGGTAGGTCACTGATATTTAGTATGCAGTTGCATTTGCATTGGCACATTTCATTTTCATGGAGATTATTAAGGCCCTGCCCCCCTCAGTCATGGTCTTTTGACTTTGAAACTTTTGTTAGTTTACTTGTATTAATTTGTGATTAGGTCAGTTTAAGATGAACCACTTATGTCCAGTCAATGATATTTGGTATTCAGTTGTATTAGCATTTGCAAGTCTCATTTCCATTGAGATTAATGTCATGGTTCATTGACTACGAAACTTTTACATAGTTTATAAGTTAAAGTTTATGTTTAGGTTAGTTTAAAGGAACCATTTATGATGACTCAAAAGTATTTGGTATGCAGTTTTGTAAGCATTGGCATTTCTCAGTTCCACAGAGGTTATTTGGTCTTGCACCTTTAGTCATGGTTCATTGACTTTGAATTATTTGCTTAGTTTAAATGTTTAAATATTGTCATTTAGATTCAACATTTGCATTATACTATCAAATTACAAAAAAAGCGAGACATATCTCTGTGTCAACAGTTTATTATTTTTATCTGTATCTTCACTTTCTTCAGGATCCATTGAACCCTGATAATGATGTAATAACAGTACCAAATTTACAGCACCAGATACGTATTTTGACATAAAAAAAATGTTTCAGTGATGCTCCAGACCAAAATATTTGAAAATTCAAACCCTAATAGAATCTCTGAAATATTCTAAAGTTTATAGCTATTATATCATAAAAATGATTACATATTTTATATTTTAGATGTATTCCTTCAGCATATTAAGAGAACCATTATTAGGATACTTGTGTTCTGTGTTAGGGTCTTGTGTAGATAAAAATGAATCTAACACAATACAATGGCAGGTTAGTATCAAAATTTACCTAAACTGAAGGCAACTTTCTAAGACATAATCTGTTTTTCTATTAATTTCATACAATTGAATTAAAGTCTAGTGCTTGCATCTATTTCTAGATTAAAATTATTTACGCAGGTTTTCAGGGGAACGTATTTAGTAAATCTTCAATAATTTACAATGTATAAAGTCTGTTTGATATTGTAGTTGGCAGAAGCTATATTCTTCCTGTTTGGATCAGTAGCAGAAAGTGTTGATTTAGAAGAAAACCTGTACATGCCTAATGTAATGAATCTCATTCCAAAACTACCTTACGACAATATAAAGTTTATCTCCACAGCATTATATATGGTTGGTAAGTATAAAGAGTTTTCATTGTTATAAGTGATAAAGTATTAAAATTTGCTGTGTATTTCAAACTAAAATTTAAGTTCCAGTAATAAAAAGTGTGTACAAAATACTGCAAAGTTAAGTTTGCTTGTTCTTAATGTGGACTATGAAATCAAACTTAAATTTTTTTGCTATCTGTTGAAGGTCTGTTTTAAGCCAATCAGAACGTAAAACAGGTTCCTAAGTGTGCATGTAGAACCAGCTTGGCTAAGTTTTTTGTATACACCAAACAAAAAAGTCAATAAAAAAATTAAATTTCTTCTTAAAAATTACACTCTTTAGTAGATTAGCTATAATACTTACATATTGGTTATAATAGTATATGGAATCTAATTTTCTAAATGGATTTGATATAAATTTGATTAACTAAATGTAATTGATTAATATATGTCACAAGGGTGAAGTACATGGTTTGTGTAGTTATAATTTCACAATGTGGGGTTATTATAGTTGCAAATATTTCCAATGAAAAATGACTGAATGTACTCTGTTTGTGATTTTTTCCTAGGATCTTTTGGTGAATGGTTGAATTATCATCCAGATATACTTGGATCTGTGATACCTCTGATACTGCAAGGTCTAACAAATAGTGAAGTAGCCACAGCAGCTACAATGTCACTTAAGGATGTCACCAGAGAGAATCTAGATCATATCACCCCATTCATTCATCAGATCTTATCTTCTAGTCAGGTATGTAAATGCTTCAAATTTTGGAAATTATTTGCAACGGTTTGTTGTGACTTGAGTTCTGCAACTTTCAAAGCTTTTTGGTCTTTGCTAAAATCAGTCTGTGTCTTAAATTTCACAACATAATCAGAAAATGACTTCCATAGCTACCAATAAAGTTTTGATGTAACACTTAAGCTAATTCAGAATTGATATTTTATAGTTTTCTCTTGTCACTGCCAAACATATTTTTGTAGAATACCGGTTCAAAATTAAAGAATTTTATATAGAATATAAAGAAACTTATTCCTTGGTTAATGAAACAAAAACCTGTTTATAGAAATTCAAATTAGACATGTTTTTATTTATAGAATCTATTTTTCATCCAATTTGGTTGTGATTGTTTCCCTTTATGTTCATCTATGTTAGAACTTTCAGATAAATTGCAATCAATTTTACTCATACAGTTTCTGTGAAATAAAAGGGATAAAGGGACAGAATATTTTAAGCTACATTTACTAACAAGTTTCTGCAATATTTTTTTTTAAATTCCAGTTTCTTCAAAAGATTATCTAAAAAGGTCAATCAGATTTTATTATTATATACTTGATATTGTCTTCAATGTCAGACATTTTTTTAAAACAAATAATTATATTATACAAGTATAAAAATTGAACTATAATTATTTTGTAGAATGCGCTGAATAGCAATACTCTTAAGGTGAGTGAGTTTTATAAAAAACTAAAAACCTTTATCCTGTGCTAGAAAAAGTAGATTCGAGAAAAATGTTAAATTATGATTTTAAGGATGTCAACTGTTAACTGGTTAACAGTCTGAAGAAGCGAATAACAAATAATAAAATCGTTAACCAGTTAATGTGACCTTTTTTTAATTTTTAGGTTAATAAATTTGATATGAATGTACCAGTATATTGAAATCATAAATAACAATGATAAATTTTAAAAGGATCACTGTAGTACACATGTAATAAATGAAATAAACTGTCCAGTATATTTATAACTTGATTGCATATGAATACATTCCATATTAATTAACTAATCAGCACCAAGACATCTTGACTATTAGAGTGGGCAAAATTTAAAGTAAACATAATTTACAAGGTATACATGTAGTAGGTGTGTAAAATAAATATACATAGAATGGAACAGGTTTGGTCATATATCAAACGAAATGCTGATTAATTATTGTGAAATGCAAATTTCCTGTAAACTGGTTGTACCCTTAACATGCAGACACGAGCAATACCGAATGATCTAGGAAATGATGTATCTATAATCTACAAAACATTGTATCATTCTATGCATTAGGAATAAAGTACTACAGACATTGTCTTTGAACATCAACTTTCAAACCTGTTAACTAGTTAATCATACTAATGATTATCTGAGTAACCGGTTACCTAAAAATGATAATGTAACAACACTAAATGTGGTTCTCCATATTTATTTAATTTATAGAATTAATGAAATGCTGTAATCTGGCTTGTGAAACAAAATGATATTTATAAGTGTCGCATATTTATGATTAAGATGAAGGATATTTAATTCAATGAGGCAGCAATTCTAACAACAAAAATATATAAAAATCCACATACAGTAGTCAACAGTATACTAGGGTACATACCAAGCTTTAAGTTGCCATAAGCATAGCCATGGATAAATTTATCAGAGACTAAAAATATGCCATTTGACACCAAATTCTTTTACGGACAAAAACACTAAAATATAACTACAAAAAACAACTGACTTTGGACAGTTACATTCAAATGTAGCAGTGATAAACTATTCTTTTAGTACTCTGCCCTAAATACTTTTTGTCTATTTATATATTAGTATTAATTTTTCAGTCCCTACACTAAAGAAAAGTTGATAATATTAATAATAATATTGAAGAATAAGAAGTTATAACTATAAAAATTATTTCAATCTGTTTACAATTGATCTAAAACAATTGTGGTATTATTTTATATTTATTTGTATAAATTATTTGCAGAGTAAAGACTGTATCAGACTAATGTGTTCTATTGGACAAGTGCTGTCAGTTCTACAGTTTGAAGAAATCATGCAGTATCTGAATGCAATACTAACACCTCATCTACAGCAAATGGACGAACTATCTAAACAAGATGTAAGAATTATAAATGCTCTGTGTGTATAAAAGTAAAATTGTAGCTGATATTTAAAGAGAAAAAGAAAAAATTCCAAAACCAAACTTATATTAAGATATATATTAAAATTTAACTCCAAATTAAACAGAAAGCAAACAGATTTCCAATATCAGTTGAGTGAATAAATTGCAGTACTTTAGTGCACAAAACCTTTCAGTATACCAAAGTTTTTATGTTTTAGGCATAATAATGATATCGGTAGTTAGATAGAAATAGGGAAAATAAACATTTATAAATAGGCATCAAGTTCGCAAAATTGATATATTTTCAGCCATCAACAGTAGTGAAGAATGCAATATTACTGAAGCTGAAGATGTTAAGTTGGTTGTTCCAGTCATTAGATACAGAAAGAGAAAAAGAGGAGGATGTAGAGGAAGGTCAGCAAAAACAAGTCAAGGTCAAATCTGACAAACCTAAACCAGTAAGTATGACAAAGTCTGATTTGACAAACTTAACAAAGTATGGCAAGGTCAGGAAAACCTCTCAAAGTCAAATATGTAAAAACCCAAAACTGATTTGAAATTTGTCAAAGTCAAATCTTATAAACTATTATGTAATGGTCAAGGAAATTATCGTTCAGTCAAATGAAATAAATATTGAAATATTGAAACCTAGAATTAAGGTATGTCAATTTACACAAACAGAAATATCATTTTATCCAGGTTTAAACGAACATTATAACTTGCTTTGTCAAATAATGTAAAGCCAGATATTATTTTGTGCATTTATAAATGTGATTACAGATGATCTGTGTGATTTATTGATGTGATTACAGATGATCTGTGTGATTTATTGATGTGATTACAGATGATCTGTGTGATTTATTGATGCAATTTCAGAAAATGTTGCATACAAATAATGCCAACAAAATCTGAAAAGCAAATTCTAATCCCTTTTATTGTCGAGCCTTCGACTTTTGTCGAAAAAGCGAGACATAGCGATTCTACATTCCGTCGTCGTTGTTGTCGATGTCGTCAGCGGCGTCCACAAATATTCACTCTGTGGTTAAAGTTTTTTAAATTTTAATAACTTTCTTAAACTATCCTGGATTTCTACCAAACTTGGACAGAAGCTTGTTTATGATCATAAGATAATATATAAAAGTAAATTTTGTAAAAAAAAAATTCCATTTTTACCGTATTTTACTTATATATGGACTTAGTTTTTCTGCCAGGAAACTTTAACATTCACTCTGTGGTTAAAGTTTTTGAAATTTTAATAACTTTCTTAAACTATCCTGGATATCTACCAAACATGGAAAGAAGCTTGTTTATGATCATAAGATAGTATCCAGAAGTAAATTTTGTAAAAAAAAAAATTCCATTTTTTCCGTATTTTACTTATAAATGGACTTAGTTTTTCTGCCAGTGAACATTACATTCACTCTGTGGTTAAAGTTTTTAAAATTTTTAACAAATTTCTTAAACTATCCTGGATTTGTACCAAACTTGGACAGAAGCTTGTTTATGATTAAAAGCTAGTATCTAGAAGGAAATTTTTTTTAAAAATTTTGTTCTATTTTTTCCGTATTTTACTTATAAATGGACTTAGTTTTTCTTCCAGTTAACATTACACATACAGTCTGCAGTTTAAGTTTTTAAATCATTTATTAGATTCATAAACTATCTTGGATTTTTACCAAACTTGGACAGAAGCTACTTACAATCAAAATATAGTATAGAGAGGAATATTTTTATTAATTTTTTTCCTCATTTTTGTTGAGCCTGTGATTAACAGCAAAAGTAGGCGAGACACTGCGCTCTGCGGAACCCTTACGAATTTTATAATTATTTCATCATATTTTTCCCAATAAATAAAACATCAGAAAATTTCTGAATATGTATTAATACAAAAAACTAACATCAAAACTAGCATTATAATTGAAACTAAAAATTAAAGCTAGAACCAGACAGTTTTTGTATTGCCTCAACAAAGTTGCTGAGGCGAGGCTCACAAGTGCTGTTTCCAGGGACTCTGTCAACAATTTGTTTAAGTTTGTGATTAGGTCAGTTTAAGGAGAACCACTAATGGTAAGTTGGTGATATTTGGTATGCATTTGTATAAGCATAAGCACTTCACATTTCCATGGAGATTGTATGGCCCTGCCTCCTTAGTCATGGTTCTTTAACTTTTGAATTTGCTTTGTTTACATGTTAAAAGTTTGTGATTAGGTCAGTTTAAGGGGAACCAATTATATCAAGTCAATGATATTTGGTATGCATTTGTATTAGTCGAGGCACATGTCATTTCTGTAGAGATTGTTTGGGCCAGCACCTTCATTCATGGTTTATTTATTTTTGTATGTTTTGCATAGTTCACATTTTAAAGTATTTCCATTTTAATATCAACATTTGAATTACATACAAGCGAGACATATCTGTGTGTAAACATTTTTTAAACTTTATGAATCCACAAAAAAGAAGTAGGAATAAAGGACTACCTTTAAATCGGGTCAAGACCTTAAAGTAAGTATAAAAAATCTATTCATTTGACATATATTAACACTATCAACTGTTTTCATATACTGGTGCCATTTAAGGCCCTTGATAACTGACAACTAATTACCATTTTATGCTTACATGGGTATGTTGAGCACCAATTCTTTTATAATTTTCTATAATTTTTTAATCACATTAATGACCTTTATTATAGTATAGTAAGTTCTCTATTTCACACTTTTGAATATTAACATTTTACCCAGACTAACAATATGAAATTTTCAGGTATATGTTGTATTGCAACAGATAGCACCAGTTGTTCAAGCTTTGGTTACAAAATGGATAATGGATCCTAGTGTTATAGAGGTAAGTTGATCATTTTACTGAGCAGGATTTTCTGAATTACTTGAACATCTTGTGAAGACCAACGAACATTTTATTTAAATTGTAATAATTATGAACACTAAAAAAATTTCTTAAAAAAAAATTTGACAAAGTTATTTTTAGGAAACATTCAATCTGTATGGTACAGATTATAAATTATACCTTTGCATTTGTTAGATTGAGCTAAAAATTCTGTCTTATGAAAAACACAGGTTTAAGAGCCTCTAGCTTTTTAAGCAAGATTCAGTTTGCTGCTACTGTCAAACCTTACACTGAACCTTTATATGAATTGAAAATTGATATAAAAAAATATGTATATAAATTAATAATATTAATCTTTTTTCAGGCTGTATGTGAATTATTTAAGAAATCTCTTAGAACTTTAATGGATGATTTTACAACAATAGCACAAGATGTTTCACAGATGTTAGTTCAGATGTACCAAGCCATCACGCATCCTGCTATATTAGATCTGTCAAAACAGGTAATCTGCCAAATTGATACATGGAGTGAAATGTTTAATCTTAATTCATTTGTGTGATTTGTAAACTAATTTGATGTATATTTTTTAATGCAATATGTCTGTGAAAACTTTCTTTCAGAGAAATTTAAAACATGATTGATACATAAATAAGATAAAAAGAAGTAAAAATATTAGTGGACTATACAACAGATCACACAAGACTCCTCTGAAGAAAGATGTGCATTTGACTTGGTATGAGCTCAAAATGTGTTTTCAGGTCAAACCAATTTATTACAATACATAGGCTACTACCATAAGTTCTGAGTTCTTCTCTATTGCCTTAGAACAACAGACAAAACCCCCAGCTAAAAAGGGTAAGGATTCCAATATTTCATAGAATTTCTTTTTTTTTAATGTATAATTTTTCAGTGCTTTTATTGTTGTTCTTCATCTCAAAGTCATAGTGAAGCCTTCAACACTGAGCAAAAAACTCTCGACTCACTGCAAGTTTAAGAAGGCCCCCTATCATCGTTTGAGCATATGTAAAGACACAATAATTTAGTATTTATATAAAACATTTTATTCTAATTTTATTTCAGTTAATTCTGATGTTTGGTGAAGATGAGTGTTATAAAGAGACATCAAATGCCTTATTTAGATCTCTATGTGATAAAACACTTACTCTGTTTCAACAAGGTTTGTAATCATTTTAACTTAGAAGCCACCATTATCTTTCTTGGCAGGATCATTTTAGCAAACTTATCAAATGACCTCTTTTGCTTTTACCATCACTATATCATAAATATTAACTTTTCATATCGAAATGTTTTACAATTTTTATCACACTATGGTAAAAGTTGCATAAATATTCATGTACTGGTCATTTCAAAGATATCTATAACATGATGTCAAAGTCTGTTGGAATTTATTGGCTATTTCCTCACATGATGTGTAAATGTTTGGACTGTCCCTTACTAAATAATGGTAGTCCAAAATGATTTTTACCTGCACAGTACAATATTGTGGCAGTTTTGGAATGCAAGAAAATCTACATCTGAAAAAGTCTAAGAAACAATTTATTTATGATCATTTACAAAATGTTTTAATGTCATTTTGTACTTATTCATGACATGTATGTACTACAGATTTCAGATTCACTGTATTCATCAGTAGATATAGTAATTTTTTTATGAAATGGTTCAGTTGAATAAAAAGGTATTTGGGATAATCTTCATTAAGACATCACTCAACAAGATCAAGTAACAAATATTGGACATTTTATGGTGATCTTATGGTTTTTAACATTCTCGCTGGAATTTATGTTTTATCATATTGGATATTGGTACCTCCAAATAGCTTCAAATAAGAAAAGGAGATGAAAAAATTAACACAGATAGATTTCTGCAGTAGGAAATGTTCTTCAATATTAGTAGTATAAAAAATATTTTCATTTAAGTTTAGGGCAATGCACACCAATTGACAAACCATGAAAAAAAGTAAAATAACCAAAAAATACCGAACTCCAAGGAAAATTCAAAACAGAAAGTCCTTTATCAAATGGCAAAATCAAAAGCTCAAACACATTAAACGAATGGAAAACAACTGTCATATTCCTGACTTGGTACAGGCATTTCCTCATGTAGAATATGATGATAAACCTTGTTTTATAGATAGCTAAACCTCTCACTTGTATGACAGTCACATAGAATTCCATGAATTTATATTTCTGTTGGTTTGAAGGTCCTTGACAGTTATTTGTCTATTTGTAGGTGCTAACCAGTCCTTTACAGATGTCATAGAAGGATTTATGAATTTCCTGGCTCAGGTTTGTATTTAGCATGTTCATAATTATTTCATAGACTTGATTAGATTATAATCTAGTAAGATTAGTTTTGGACATGCAACAGTCTGTGGTGAATGTCAGGCGCCGAATAGTTGCAGAAGAAATGCAACTTGACCATTTGAATCTGTTATCCATTTTTGATTGGGTTTTAGTATTATATAGCATGACTCTTGGATTGAAATATGAACAGACAGAAGGACTGTCTAATGATTATTTTAAGACAGTATATCATCTATAGCAAAAGCTGAAACTAGAACTTTGCACTAAGGACATATATTTATCATCTGATAGATCCTGGACTCTTGTTGTATATCAATACAGGTAATATCTTAAATGAGTACATTACTTAATTCTATTATTTATATTAAAAAATGAAGCAAAGAATATGATCAATTTTCAATATTCATGCTTTGACGTGCAGTTATATGTGGAAGCAGATCTTAAAGGGGCATAAGCTGTCAAATTCATGTTCATTGATTTTACTCAAATTCTCATATATGATTTATAACATACTAAAACGTATATCCAAATCCTAAAAAGTCTAAATAAACAATTTATGATGCATGGACTCAATAATATGTATCAACATTTGTTGTGTATTTTAATCTAGACGCCATCTAATTAACCATCAAGGTGACCTTCGAAGACTGCCCATGGTCATATAACCCGATATAAACATAAATATAGATATAAATAGATAGTGAACATGTGCAATTGGATTTTTCTAGATCTGTTTGATTTCATATTATAGGTTAAAAAAATAGGTTAATCATCGTTTTTACCTGTATAGGAATATAAGTTTTTGTGGATCGAATCAGTCAACCAAATGGTTTACCCTTGTTTCACTTTCAATGTTGACATTCTTTTCCTTTTAATAGCTGAACACGCCTAGTTTATACGTAACCCATCTCTAGCTAAGGGGTTAAATTGAAGGTCACATATATACGAATTCAATGAGGTCAAATTATTCACTTGCAAGTGAATAATTCATCAGCAATGTTTCTTAGTGTATTTTGACAAAATGTAACCAAACTGGCTGTTAAAAGCGAATCATTATTTCACTATTTCACTTTCATTAATTATTGAAAAAAAAAAAAAAAATCATATTTTGATTTTTGTTATATCTCGTAGCTAATGCCCCTTTAAAACTTCCACTCAGTTTACTTAAAAAGTTGACCTTGTGTATTATTGTGAAAGGTTAATGTTATTTTAAGAAGTGTTTTTGTGACTTTTCATACAGTCTGACTAAAACTGCTACTATCCACTGGGGTTTGTGCAAGTGGATAGTGGGGGCTTGCTTTAGTCGGATTGTCTTTCATATTAATGTTATAGGTTATGTTTATTGTAAGAAGTGGTCATGTGTCCTTTCATTTGAATGTACTAGGGTATCTGTATTGTAAGAAGTAGTCACTATGTTGTTCATATGAAAGTAAAAGTTTATGATTATTGTAAGAAGTAATTACTTAATCTTTTAAATGATTGTAAAAGGTTATGAAGAAAAGCAGACATATCATATTAAACAGTGGATGTAACATAACAGGTATATTTCATGCTGGTAAGTAACAATATAGAATAGGTTTGTTATTATAGGACCGCAAAAAAATTTTGCGGTCATATATTGGTATGACGTTGGCACATAAAGACACATTGGTTTTCGCACTCTTACTTTAGTTTAAGTGAATGGATCTCTATGCAATTTTACCATAAGGTTCAATACCACAAAAGGAAGGTTGGGATTGATTTTGGGGGTTATGGTACCAACAGTTAGGAACTAGGGGCCAAAAAGGGGCCAAAAATAAGCTTTTTTGTAACTTCCAGACATAACTTGTGTGTTAGTGTATGGATCTCTCTGACATTGTACCACAAGGTTCCATATCACAAAGGGAAGGCTGGGATTGATTTTGGGGGTAATTGCCTCAAAATTTTAGGAATTTTGGGGCCAAAAAAGGGGCAAAAAACAAGCATTTTTCTAGTTTCATGACAATAACTTGTGTGTAAGTGTATGGATCTTTCTGAAATTGTACTACAAGGTTCCATATCATAAAGGAAAAGCTGGAATTGAGTTTGGGGGTAATTGCCCAAAACGTTTAGGAATTTGGGGCCTCAAATAAGCATTTTTCTAGTTTCCAGACAATAACTTGTGTTCAAGTGTATGGATCTCTCTGAAATTGTACTGCAAGGTACCATATCACAAAGGGAAGGCTGGGATTGATTTTGGGGGTAATTGCCTCAAAATTTTAGGAATTAGGGGCCGAAAAGGGGCAAAAAACAAGCATTTTTCTAGTTTCAGGACAATAACTTGTGTGTAAGTGTATGGATCTTTATGAAATTGTATTACAAGGTTCCATATCACAAAGGGAAAGCTGGGTTTGAGTTTAGGGTTAATTGCCTTAAACGTTTAGGAATTTGGGGCCAAAAATTAAGCATTTTTCTAGTTTCCAGACAATAACTTGTGTTCAAGTGTATGGATCTCTCTGAAATTGTACTGCAAGATACCATACCACAAAGGGAAGGCTGGGATTGAGTTTGGGGGTGATGAATCATAAGGGGGTTCAAAAAATTGGGGGGGGGGGGGTGTCCTTTTTTTCCTTTTTTTTCTTTAAAATTTCCATTTTAAATTCTGATTTATATATAAAAGCAAATAATAATGATATGGTTTGAATAGGTAAATTAAAATTTTTTAAGTTCTTAGACCACATTCATTCTGTGTCAGAAACCTATGCTGTGTCAAATATTTAATCACAATCCAAATCCAGTGCTGTATCAAGCTTGAATGTTGTGTCCATACTTGCCCCAACTGTTCAGGGTTCGACCTCTGCGGTCGTATCAAGCTGCGCCCAGCGGAGCATTTTATTTTTAAGTTATTATCTATTAACATGTTTGACTTCTTCCAATGGTTTTCAGTGGTAATTTCTATTAAGCAAGAAAATATATATATTTAAATGATCACAATTGGAATTGTAATTCTACCAAAAATTCTAAGAGGGCTGTCATTTTGAGCTCTACACTTTCCTAGGAGCTTGTTGTTTTTATGCCCTTGCCGTAGGCAACGGGGGCATTAAGTGTTACCCTTGACAGTCTGTCCCATTTTTGTTTCCGCACTCTAACTTAGTTTGCCTCATGCAAATTTTATGAAACTCATACACAATGCTAACATGGCTAAGAACCAAAATTAGCAGACAGTTCGAATTTGGGCAGTGAGTCCCTTACCGTTTTAAATTTATGCCCCTTTATAACTTTGAAAATTGCAAATTTTTTGATTCCACACTCTTAACTTAAGTTTGTCTCATCTAAATTTTATGAAACTCATACACAATGCCAAGAACCGAAAACTAGCAGACAGAGTTCATATTTGGGCAGTGATTCACTTACCTTTCTAGAATTATGCCCCTTTATAATTTGGAAAACTGAAAATATTTTAGTTTCCACACTCTTAACATAAGTTTGTCTCATCCAAATTGTATGAAACTCATATAAATGCTAAGAACCACAACACAAATACAGAATTTGAATTTGGGTTGTAAGTCATTTATGCTTCTAGAGTTATGCTCATTTTTAACTTGGAAAGTTGCAAAGCTTGAGCGGGAGCATTTGTGTCCTCAGACACATTCTTTTATATTATTTTGTAATAACTAAGCACTTACCAGTGTAACAGTATACTAGATTTCATATATTATCTATAAATAAAAGAAGATGTGGGTAATTTCAAGATCAATGAGACAGCAAACCAACAAAATAAAAAAACAAATCTAAAGACATCTAGCAGTCAACATATGGTCTTTAACAATAGACAAGTGTTGATAAAATATATTAACAAAAGTCACCCTGTGTCTAAAAAAGAATTCAATAAATTTAAGATGGACTGACATAGATCCACAATTGATACCAGCATTGCCCACAATATTTATTTCTAAATTATTTCTGGAATATGATTATCATCATATATGTTTTATCAGGTATTCAGTCATTAAGTCTTCCTGAACATCATACAGTTAAAGCTTCCTCATCATTCCTGGTAAGTTAGATGAAAGGATAACGTTTGATCAGGTATTCAGTCACTAGTCTTCCTGAACATCATACAGTTAAAGATTCCTCATCATTCCTGTTAAGTTTGATGAATGGATAATGTTTGATCAGGTATTCAGTCATTAGTCTTCCTGAACATCATACAGTTAAAGATTCCTCATCATTCCTGTTAAGTTTGATGAATGGATAATGTTTGATCAGGTATTCAGTCATTAGTCTTCCTGAACATCATACAGTTAAAGATTCCTCATCATTCCTGTTAAGTTTGATGAATGGATAATGTTTGATCAGGTATTCAGTCATTAGTCTTCCTGAACATCATACAGTTAAAGATTCCTCATCATTCCTGTTAAGTTTGATGAATGGATAATGTTTGATCAGGTATTCAGTCATTAGTCTTCCTGAACATCATACAGTTAAAGCTTCCTCATTATTCCTGTTACGTAAGATGAAAGGATAATGTTTTATCAGGTATTCAGTCATTAAGTCTTCCTGAACATCATACAGTTAAAGCGTCCTTATCATTCCTGGTAAGTTAGATGAAAGGATAATGTTTGATCAGGTATTCAGTCATTCAGTCTTCCTGAACATCATACAGTTAAAGCTTCCTCATTATTCCTGTTACGTAAGATGAAAGGATAATTTTTTATCAGGTATTCAGTCATTAAGTCTTCCTGAACATTATACAGTTAAAGCTTCCTCATCATTCCTGGTATGTTAGATGAAAAGATAAGCATTTTATTGTTTAATCTTAGCTGTTTAAAAATCAGAGTTCAAATTGCTTAGATGGTTTGACAAGAAAATTTGTTTTTAACTTCAAATGAATATGTGATATTGAAACATTTTTTTATACAAAAAGGGTCCAAAAAATATTCCCTTGAATTTTACATTTCCTTGCAGAACAAAATTTCTAAGTCATGAACATCAATCTTGGTTGTTTCAAAGCACCATTATTTTTCATTTTGGGGTAAAACAATGGCAGTATTACTCCTAGAAAGTCTAGATTGTTATTTCAATAACCATGAATTAAAGGAGATATGGTGTATATGCTAATTATACAGCAACCCATCAATACAAATAAACAAAAGACATCTAGAATAATTGATATATTACTTAGTTGTTATTTTGAAACATATTATATTGTGCTTTTGTGAACTATTCATGTTCCATATAAAATTAATGAGATGTGGTATGATTGCGAATGGGACAACTATATATCCACAAGAGATCAAGCATGAATTTAAACTTTGGATTCTAACATAACCCTGAGTATTGCATGCTGTGGAAATGAAATTTGAACAAGCAAAGTTTTTCCTTTGATGTAAATCTGACATCTGCTTAACTAATATGTATTCAAAATAGCAGGCATTACTGCAATAAGGGTTAATTGAGTTAATAAATGACCAAAAACTAACAAGTTTATTTTAAAACTGCTGCTGTAAGGAATGTTATTTAACTAAACAAGATAAGTTATTTATTGTATATTACAGATTGAACTGATAACATTCAGTCCAGAGATACCAACCTTAAATCAAGTTATCACATCAGATGGACATGTGTTGGTAGATAAAGTTTTAAGGGTATGTTGATTTTATGTTTTATACAACAACCAAATGAGAATTTTAAAATATGTAGATTAATAACCAATTTGTGTTATGTCTAATTTTGATATAATATGTTGACACAAGTAATACAAATATACGATGACATCTGTAAGACAATGAAAAAAAAATCTGACTGACTGGATTCAAATTTGCCTGACTTTCACTTCTGTCAAACATATTGAGAGAAAACACTGTTGTACAGTTAACTATATACATTATAGTAAAATACATATTACAATTTTAAAATATGTTTCATTTCAGAGAAACCAGATTTTCCTAATAGTAACAGTGACCTCAAACTTTGACCTATTAACTCCAAAATGGATTGGTATCATCCTTTTCACTTAATCTTTAGTCTATTTGTTTCATTATAATCATGCAAGGGAAACTAGTTATCATCTCGAAACTAATTTTTTACGAAAGTTACTAATTTTAGTAGTAGTTACCTTGAACTTTGTCCTTTAGATTTACTCCAAAATCAATAGGAGTCTTTTCTTACCCTTCATCATTCTAATCAATAAAGGGAAACTCCAGTTTCCATTCAGAAACCCTTTGTTTCAAACACACAGACGGATGGATAGATGGAAGGATTGACAGACAGCAGATGGACTGACAGATAAAGTGATAACTATATGCGCCAAAAAAATTGGAGGAGCATAACAAGTGTTTCTAGTTTACACAAATATCAGAATGCTTATATATTATGTATTGTTTGTTTTGTAGTTTTTCATATAAATGAGTTTACTCATTGCATAAAACTTGATAAAGACCAAATTTTGCTTTAGATTATTTGTAATAACCAGCAGACTTAATTACTTTTCTTTGTTCTTTTGTAGTCCGTTGGAGGGGAATCACCTAGAAGTATAATAGAAAACATTTCAGATATTTTATTCACATTGAACAAGGTTTACACAGAGCAGCTTGCAAAATGGTTGCATGATTTACTGGCTAAAGAGGGATATCCTTCACCTAGGGTTAATAATCAAGACAAAGAACAGTTCATTAAAGCAGTTTTAAGGTAGAATATATTATCAAGACATTCATGTCAAGATGGAACTAGTATTGAATGTTGTTGTTTTCAAGCAAACTGTACATGTAGAAAACAAAGTTTTGTCCTGCCTGCAATTTAAATGATTAGGAATATCTAAGATATTACTTTTCTACGGGCAGCTTCAGAAATTTGCAAATATCTTTTCCCCATTTTCATCAAGGATAACAAGTTTGTATGGAAGACCTTGTCACCCAGTCACCTAACCTTGACCTAATCTTCACACTTCAGTGGTCTGGTTACATTTTCATGATTAGTCCTGGCCTTATGGTCATTAAAATTTCGAGCACAATTATCATACTCAGACTCAGAAATCAACCAATCAAAATACTGGATTTGGTGTAGCACAAATTGTGTATACCAAGTACTGAATATGTTTTATGACTGAAAGCCCTGTTTTTAATAATTATTACCTGTTTGGTCTACAATATTCGGTATGCATGTTGATTGTAACAAGTATATCCATTTAGCACATATTAAATGGCCTTGTTCTGATTTCCAAACTTTCTCCAGTGATCAAGGAAAGTGGTTAGGATTATGTATGTTCCTCAGTTACTATACTATTAACCTGACATTAATGCTTTGTTGTGCAGGAAATAGTCGGAATTATGTAATTTATATTGTCACATTCTAGAGCATTGATGAGACAATATAAATTCTATAAACACAATTCTTGAAACTGAATGGTCTATGGAATAACTCAAACTTATTTACTAGTATATATTTTGATATTTATTGTATTTATAGATTATCGTTGGTCATCTCAACCGAATTGATTTTCTCGCTTGAGCCATTACGGCAAAAGTGAGAAAAGCAATAGAGTTGAGATGACCAATGATAATCTGTTTATCGCTATTTTACCTATGACGACGTTAATTTCATTGACAAAGCCACGTGCGCCCTAAGTTTCTAGTGATAATTTTTCATATCACTCTACTGTGCTGAGAAAGGAAATTATCAGTAAGATCAAAGGACAATTTCGTAAAATAGCGATAATTCTTTTTATCAGGCATACTGAAAGCCAATAATACATGAATTAATGTTGTGAATTTATTAACTGTTTACAACTAGTGTGTTATGTACCGGTATGAAGTTGACTCTTCTATTTTCAGAGAAAAAGGAAACAAAAGGCGCGGAAGAGAAATTGTGAAGGAGTTTACACTTAAATGTCGAGGACTATTTGGAACAGAGTATGCAGCACAAGCATCTGCATTTTTGTGATAGGTGTTCAGTCTGATGTTTAGGACCACGTATTTGTAGTATTTGTTCAGCTGTTCAGGAGAGTTGTAGGTTGTAGCAGCAAAGAAAAAATTAGGGCATTGAAAATTTCCATGTTGGTGGATTCATTGATTTTTTTCCAGGACAAAATGATTTAGGGTATCTTATTCTATGAGATTACCGTAACATTATATACATCTGTGATATTAGTGTATTGCTGCATGCTGTAAATAATATACCATGTGGATGGTAGTACCTTGATTCTCTAGTTACACTGGATTCACTCATCCATTTAACAAACACACAAAGATGCATTTTTTCTGCTTCATTGTGATTTGTATTCAAGTTATTTTTAGAAATTGTTTAGTGGATGAAGAAACAAAAATGAAATTAACCAATCATTTTTATATTTTATATACTTGATAAATTTCGGCTAATGTTGTTCGTAATTGCTGTAAGGTGATTACAACTTTTGACAGCAAATAGATACCAGGCATGTTTTATTGAACCATCTCCAATATACATCAGCAATGGGCAAGTCAGGGTTCATTGCACCATCACACACCTTAGGTCAGTTGGAACAAGAAATTAGTCTTATGTTAATTTATGACTGATCAATACTCAGAAAATGACATTGCAACCAAAACATTCAAATTAATCTGTTATCTACCAGTAAATGGTTGTAAAAATGTGCAAATATTTATTGGTACAGAAATAAAATATCAATTTAGTTGAACATTACTTACTCTCAATGCAAAATAAAATTTTGTGCAATGAATAACTTAAGTGTGATTGGATCCATGAAATGCATTGTTTTTGTGGTTACCAAATAGGAAATTTGTTTCAATTGATCAAGTCTAAGGATAAACAATCACTTGTATTCTGCAGATGGGTTTATTATATTAGCATGTTTTATTACCTCTCAACATGTAGTACTATGTACAAGTTCAATTTCTGATACTGAATGAATCATTTTGTTATGGAAATAGTTTTATGTGTGTTTTGCTTTTATATACGGAGTGTGGCAATATTTATGCATAGAAGGCCATAAAATATATGTGCTGTTTCTCAGATCCCTTCCAATACCTTTCTATAAAGAGATGACAACAAATGTTTTGATTGGACTTCTTCTAAAATTTACCAAACAAATTAAAAGTAAAAAGTTATTAACATCCCACAATTAAAGAAGTTGCTCCCCACTCTTTGATTCTTACCTCAAGACTAAATAGCTTCCCACAACTGTTATAAATGACTGAGAAACAGAACAATAATATTCCAAATTGCAAAAGTGTATGAGGTTGATATCTCACGAGCCTTTCTAGTGCTAGAGTGTTTTCTGAATTAATTGGTGCTTTTCAGCTCACTAAGACCAGCGGTTCATGTAAGTTATTGTCATCACCTGGCGTCTGTCATTGTTATCAATGTTTAAAAACAAATCTTTATCTTTGCAAATCATTCATGTATATCAGATGATCTCATTGGTCAACAAACAATTACTATAGATAAAGGAAAGGGGAGTGATATAGGTAAAGAGCTGTAAATTCTGAAATTTTTGCCATGTTTTTATTATTGCAACAAGATAGGTTTCGCAGACATAAAATCTTGCATTTTAAATTTTGATAGTACTAATTTGATGCAGCATTTCCTGAAATGGAATTACTTAATCTCGATTTTTGTCCATTGTTCAACAATACAAAAAGTAAATATGTGTACTAGTATACACAAACATTTCTGAATTTACAGTAAGTAAATATGTGTACTAGTATACACAAACATTTCTGAATTTACAGTAGCTATAACTTTCAAGTATTTTGCTAGTATTTGTAACACAGTAACAAGGTTTTCCTTTTGCTTGAATTCACACATTCATTTGTGATGTTTTGAGGTACCTATTTTACCCATATTATGTTAGTTACACATGCATTTCATACTTAATTGACTTTTGTACAGTTTCAGATTTAAAATCAGCTATCAGATACTAAATGGCAAACATTCAAGTAATTTGGTTTTCAGATGTACCTATTTTTTTAGATTTTTCATAAGCTAAATGTTAGGTCAGTATGACAGCTTCTTACTAAGTTAAGTCAGTAATTTGACCTAAACATCATGCAGCAGTGCTGTTGACTAAGAATTTTATCTTCAGTTTAGTTGGATATTACATGTAAACTGTATAGTGATTGTCAAGGAAAATAAATCTTCTTACATGTTCTAACATTACTTTTAGTTTCACACATCATAGACCTAGAAAATAACATTATTTCCACCAAAATTAGGACACCTCAATTAAAATTTTAAGATCTATTTCTGGGAACTATTTTCAAATACCAATCTTTATTCATACCTATAATGGTTTACTTTTATAAATTGTGACTTGGATGGAGAGTTGTCTCATTGGCACTCATACCACATCTTCTTATATCTATTGATTGCCTGTCAGCATTTACTAAGTCACAAATGCATCATTTGTCTGACAGTTTCCAAGCCAAAAATTTGTTATGCACACGTCATATAGAACTGATCAGTAAAGTTCTATGCCACTTTAGCATGGTTATTATATATTACCTAAGTCTTTTCAGTTACCCATAAAAAATATGCCCACATGACCTACATTCCACGATTCATCTTTGACCTAATTTTTACATTTGCACCACATAGATAACTTTAGGAAAAAAGTCTGTCCAACTATGATACAAACTTCATAAAGTGCTTGTAGAAGAAACCTTTGTTTTTTCATAAAAATGGTGAAATATTCTCATCATAATGAGACAAAGGCATCTAACAAATTTATTCTTGAATTTTGTTTGAATTTATGCATAATATTTAGAGCATTTCAGATGAATGCATTGTATTTGTTTTGAAATAATTTATCCTATTAATTTTTATTCTACAATTTATTTCTAGATGGTTCTATTATATTTCACAAAAGTGGTTTTTCATGAAAAATGAACGGGTATAATTTATAAAATTTGTATAGTTTTTCATATATGGGTGAAACCTTTTTATGTGTAATAAAAAACTGTTAAAAAAATTTCTGTATTTTGGTTGTAAACTGGACTTATTTTATAACACTATAACATTAGATTTTCCATGTTTAAAAGTAGGTTTTTCAAAACTTAAATATGAATTTCATGGAATTTGAATAATAAAAGTTTATAAAATCTGAAGAAACCTCAATTAAAAAAGGTTTGAAAAATCATTTCATTTGTCTTTTTTTCATTTTTTTATACCTGGACTTTGATTTTTACATCAGTATCCAGGTTTATCACTGAGACAGAAAAAAACAAAGCTTTTTGAAATTGGTATAATTAAAAAAAAATGGATGACAGCAAAGCAATGGAAACACGATCTCTTTCCAAAATAAAATAATAAATAACAGACATCAGTTAACATCAATGTTCATGTACCTGTCCACATTCTTATCTAAAGAAATGTTAATTGAACTATAAACTAACTTTGTAGGTTCATCTCAGTTTGTTACATTTTGTATTTGGGCATCCTTAAATAATCTCAGCAGTAGGTTTACTTTGGTAAAAAAGTTTTATACTGTATTTCATATTGCTTCATTAATTTAGTTTTTAATGCTGAGGATCAAGTGAACCATTGTTTTATTCTTAAGGAAGATAAGTTATTAAGTGTGCTTAATTGTACTATTCTACAGTTGTATTTTTTCCATTTTCATATTGTATTTGTAAATATTTGCTATTTATGAACAATATTTGTCAAGGAATTATTAAAATAAAGATGTAGATCATTTTAAATCTCAGCATTTCTATTGATCTATGGGAATTTAATGCAGTTTTGAACATTCTTACCTTAATGATTATTATCAATTACCTACAGAAGCTGCTATAAAGGAGCTTGTACCACAAAATTTGGCTTTTAGTTTCAAAGCACAGTCATATTAATGGCTTACTTGGCTAAAAAATAAAAGGATACACAACTTCTTGGCCCAAAATATAGTCTTTTTTTAAATAAAAGGATACTTACTTACAGATTATCTTAAAATTGAAACAATAAATTTTTAGAAATCATCAAATAGATTCACATTTCACAAGTTTTCTGGATGACAATGAATCAAAATTTATTCTCATGAAAATATTCAAAATTGTACAATACTATTTTCTTTCACCTGCACAAATCACAAAATGGGAAACATAAAGATTCTGATCTGGCTGCTGCATAAACCATTTGCACGAAGCTTTATATTTTAGAGGATAGAAGACCTGGACGCTTCATACCTTGTATAGCTCATGTTGCCATTGCATTGTCAGTTTGTTTTTCGACTTATGAGTTTCTGAACATCTCTTTGGTATCTTTTGCCCATCTTTTACAATGTTTATGTCTGCTGTGTGTCTATTGTCCTCATTTTCTTTAGTTTTTTTAGTCATGTGAATTTATCACTTATTTATGGGTAATAGGATAACTATATTTGGTATATGGGTTCCTTGTAATGTCTACATGTCTGTCAGACAGGTTGCTTGTGACCTAGACATATTTTCATGGTTTATTGGTCAATTTCAAGTTTTTGTTACTAGTATTTGGTCTGTTTCTCAGATACAAAGCAATTGGTCAACTAAATTCTGTGTATCAAAGGATCGAATGGTGGTCATGTCGGTCTCATTTTCATCATTCAAAGATCCTTGTTATGTTTCCATGGTAAATAGAATTATTGTATGATGTACATGTTGGTCTTACCTTGACCTCATTTTTATGGTTCATTAACTTCATTGTATTTAATTATTTGTAGTAAGTTTTTTTGGTTAAGTCTGTTTCTTAAGCAGTAGGTTAACTTTATTTGGTGTATGGAATGATTGTAAGGTGTAAATGTCTGTCTGACATAGTTCATTGACCTTGACCTCATTTACGTGGTTCATTGATATAAGTGTAAATGTTATGTTATACTTTTCTTTAACACTTATAATGTTAATTCAATCACGACCAGAAAAGCAGTCGAGACTTCAGCCTGTGCACTCTTGTTTATTATTCTTTTGCACTGATTTGGAGATTAAAAATTACCAACTAATATGAATAGCTTTTCAAAATGCAAAGGAAATTTTCCAACCCCAAAATAGCAGATAAACTCATGAAAACAGCAAACTAGAGGCTCAAATGTTTTCTGAGCTTCAGAAAAGACTTGTCTGACAACTGATTAATATATATGTGTACATTTTGTAATGTTATTGGTTGTTTTATGTTTCAGAAGAGAAGCTAAAACATTTGAAAATTGACCAGTTAAATCAATACATTATTCCTGCCAAGTTTGGTAACGGGTTCAGACTTTAAAAGTAGTATCAATCACCAAGTCAAAGGGAATATACATTTATGTGGTATGGTACACACTATCTGCATAATGTACAATGTATGCTACCAATTAGACTGTTGAATCAGCACAATATTGGGAATATTTGTTAGGTTTATACATGTAGAGATTCTTCCAATCCAATTATCATTCCTACTGTGAAAATTTAGCAGTGCAACCAAGCCTTGTCAGAATAAGTTTATACTACATGAAGTTGTTAATCTGACATTTTATCTTTTTGTTCAGTGATCACTGATTTACATGTACCTTTAAGCATGTTGTTAAGAGTGTTTGATGTCAGTTTTGGAAATTTACATGTGTATACTGGTTATCTGGAGACTGAGTACACATCATTTAAATTTATACAATTACATTAAATATTTTACATTTTATACATGTATAATTTCAAAAGTGCAATCTTTACATGGTTATCAATAGTTATAATTCAAATAAAAACAAATAAAATACACTTGTTCATTATTGTACATATTAAATACATAATATTCCAGTCAAATAAATACAACTACAACAATGTACCTATGACTGCCCAGTCACAAATGAAATGGAATAAGCTTAACCCGCCTAGGATCATCTGGATGACGGACAACAATCTGACATCTAAGCAACAACTCAACATATGGGGGCCAATACCGTTTGTCCAGCACTATATACGGATGATTTGGTTCATCAAAACATTTGTTCATCAATTCTGATATAATGTCTTTCAAACTGAGCATATTCCTAACAGTCACTGTTTTATCAGCTGAGCGCAGCTTTTTCTGAACATCGTTGAATTCTTCCTCAGAAGGTAACTTAAAATATTTGCTACAAAACTGTGATGAATCCTTTAACAACTGCTTGAAGTAAATGTTTGCTTTTGCTGTTTTATCAGCTATTTCACTTTTCAGCTTTTCCTTAGCACCTTCTGCATCATTTGTTTCAAAGTTTTGTTCATTAAGTCTTTTTGCGAGAGAATCAAGAACTACATCACTAATTTGGTCATTCCAGCTTCCCTCTTCATGTATTTCAATCTCAAGTTCACGAGCTTCAGCATTTATGAACGTAAGAGTATCATTTAATTCAGAAATGCTTTTCTCTAATTCTTCTTTTATTACTCCATAGTGGACTTCCTTAGAATCTGGAAGGATGGATAAAGGCGAATTCTGAACAATGTTAATTTCAGCTGTTGTATGTTCAACTTTTTCCGCAAGCAACCCACAAGAAGGTGCAACTCCCGTCTTCTCAGGGAAGGCTAATGTTTCAGTTAAAATGGGTTCAGTGTCAACTTCTTGAAGACGATTCAGAGATTCAAAAAAATCACCTTCCGTATGGTGTAATGTGATATTTTTTATTGGAGAGGACATCACTTTGTTTTGTTTTCAAGTTGCATTTCCCGCAAAGAAATCAAACGGAAGCGGAAACAAGTTTTATTATTATACAAACTAAAGTGTGCATTTGATGTTTTCCGATACCAAAAAGAAATCGCTGATTAAACGAAAGGAGAATAACCGTAAGGGACTGGTCATTTTCTTTCTTTGGGGACCTGGGAGAAAAAAATTCCCTTATTTTTTCAAGTACCCACATTGAAAAGGGAAAATAAATTCAAAACCCCCCTTGCAATGAAAGACATAAAAATTTCACCCCCATCTTTCTCAATACACCTTATCGCTATTTAGTCCAATCCGGAAAAAACAGTCATTTAGACAACTTCCTGTTTGGGTCAACAGGCCGCAAACAAAGGTCATCAGTAACGAGCTGAGGGAGGGAAAAATTTAGAAAGCGATCAATAGGAAACTTTGATAGATTATGATCCACTTTTTCCAAACTCAAATTAAAGTCAAAAAAATATTGTGTTTGAAGTATTTACGATGTTTTAAACAGGTCTCATTGAAAAGTATCATGCATGGTGCATTGTTTAAACAGGGTCCCAGATAGCGTCAACTGGATGAAAAAGTTGTGTAATTTTAGAACTTATCCGGAATGGAATAAATAGCGATTAGGTGTATACTTTTGTTCGTTATAACAAAAAATACATGCTTACAATTTCTATTTATAATATTATTATTCAATACAATATTGCATCAGTAGTTGATCTAGAGCTTCAAGTGGGGAATTTGGTTGTGACTCCAGTGAATCCTTTTTGGATATGCCAGTTATGCACGGTCTTGAAACTTTTGATTTGGATCTTAACAAATGAGCCTAGCTGAGCGAGGCGAACACAAATTGATGTTTTTCGTGAAAATATTATATTTTTTTATTGAAGGGGAAGCGTAGGGTGTTGGTCCCCTGATAACGCATCTCCAGGTTATAAAAAAAATAGCTCGACTCCCAGATATTACTTACTTACTTACTTAATGATGTTTTCCGGTACAGGATCTTCACGTTTCCTCTTCACCAGACTCATATATTGAATTATTATCTCTATTATTTCTGTTGCTGCTTCTTGTTATTTCAGCTCGATAATCAGAATAATAGATTTCTTCGTATTCCCAGTTATTATCTAATCTATTTTTAAACGAATTTATAGATGGAGCTTTTGTTACTTTATCTGGTAGTTTATTCTATAATTTGGCAATTTTTACAGCAAAGCTATTTTTCCTCAGGCTTGTTTTAAATCGTTGGTGAATAATTGTGTTACTATTAACTCTTGTGATATGCCTATTTACGGTGTTTGAAATTAGTTTGAGAAATGTACTAGTTTCTGGATCATATTTTCCGTTTAGTATCTTATATGTCTCAATCATGTCCCCTCGGACCCTTCTATATGACAATGTTGGCACCTTAAGTTTTTTCAATCTTTCCGGATAACTTAATTTGTTGAATCCAGGTATCTGGCGTGTAGCCCTTTTTTGTACATTTTCGATTTTGTCAATGAATTTCTTTTTGAAAGGTGCCCATACTGACTAGCATAGTCTAAGTGTGTTCTCACCAATGTTTTGTATAGTGGTATGAAGATCTTTGCATTTAAATTTTTAAACGTTCTTCTAATTGTCGCAAAGATTGAGTTAGCTTTGTTCACTTTTTCGCATATGTGTTTTTCAAAGGTTAAATCTTCGTCTATAACTACTCCAATATCCTTCTCTTCTCTGCATTTGATAATATCATGACCTAATAGATTGTAAGTTGTGCTGTAATCTCTTACCCCTCTGCTAATACTTAAATCTTTACATTTTTCTGGGTGGAATTTCAAGAGCCATGTATCACTCCATTGTTCAAGATTTTTTAAATCGTTTTGCAGTATAACTTGGTCTGCTTTGTTTTCAATGATTCTAAAGATTTTGGTTTCGTCCGCTAATCAGTAGGCATCCGATGTGACGCAATCTGGCAAGTCGTTTATGTATAGAACAAATAACAGGGGGCCTAGTACTGAGCCTTGGGTTATTCCAGATGTTACATCTTTCCACTCTGATGTTTCCCCATTCACTGAAACTCTTTGTTTTCTATATGACAGAAAATCTGTTATCCAGTCTAGGATTGGATTTATTATCCCAAATTTCTCAATTTTCTTTACGAGTCGCCTGTGTGGTACTTTATCAAAGGCTTTCATGAAATCGGTGTATATGCAATCAACCTCATGGCCATTATCTATAGCTTCTGTCCATTTATCTATTACCTCTAGTAGTTGTAGTGTTGTTGATCTTCCAGAAATAAAACCGTATTGTTTATTTGAAAATAATTTATTTTCTTTCATATAGCTAATATGTTCAGATCTGTACTTATATATAGTGCCTTTTTGTTGTTTGGATGTACAAGTACCCGGTCACGTCCACTTGTATTTGTAGTATTTGTATTTTTATCCATCTGATGAGTTAAGCCTCTTTCAACTAATTTTTATAGTTCGTTCTTATGTTGTACTGTTACACCACTGTCCCAGGTTAGGGGGAGGGTTGGAATCCCGCTAACATGTTTAACCACGCCACATTCTGTATGTATGTGCCTGTCCCAAGTCAGAAGCCTGTTATTCAGTGGTTGTCGTTTGTTTATATGTTACATATTTGTTTTTCGTTCATTTTTTGTACATAAATTAGGCCTTTAGTTTTCTCGTTTATATTGTTTTACATTGTCATTTCGGGGCCTTTTATAGCTGACTGTGCGGTATGGGCTTTGTTCATTGTTGAAGGCCGTACGGTGACCTATAGTTGTTAATTTCTGTGTCATTTGGTCTCTTGTGGAGAGTTGTCTCATTGGCAATAATACCACATCTTCTTTTTTATATCTCTTATAATTTTCTACATGATTTTGCAAACCACTGATGTAAGGCTTACTGTTCTGTAGTTTTTTGCTTGTAATTTATTCCCTTTTTTGAAGATTGCACTCACTAGAGCGTTTTTCTAATCTTTTGGGACTACTTTTTGGGTTAATGATTGGCTAAAAATGATGCCTAGTGGTTCAACTATACATTCCTTGACTTCAAAAAACAGTCTGGGGTGTAGGTTATCAGGGCCTGGAGATTTATCTGTTTTTATTTTCTGAAGGTGCTTCAATACTAAATCAGTGCCAATATTTAATTCCTCTATTTTGTTTTGTATTGTGATATGTTTAGGTTCTTGGATATTGCCTTGGGGTTCATTTGTAAATACACTAGTAAAATACTCTGATAATATTTTAGCTTTTTGTTTGTTATCATCCGTTTTTTTTCTCCAGATTTTACATCTTCCGAGTCAACGTGTAGGTCACCTATACCTTTTCTTGTCTTGGATTTGGATTTTATGTAACTCCATATGGCTTTAGGATTTGTCTTGGCATTATCAGATAATCCTTTTTCAAATAATTTCTTTTGTTTATTGACTGATGTTTTGGCCTGATTTCTGACTTTGTTGTATTCAGCTCATGTTTCTGGATCTTGTTTAGTTATGATTTTTTTTAGATAAAATCCTTTTAATCAACTCTCTCGTGTTTTTGTCTATACGGAATACATTTTTCTTTTTTCCTATTTGTGTCATTGTTTTAGTTGGTACAAATCTGTGTTCTAATTCTTTTAAAATGGTTAAAAAATAATTCCAATTATTATCAATGGAAATTTCAGCATTGAGTTTATCATGCCAGTCTGTTTTATTTAGCTCTTGAATAAAATCTTTGTAATTTCCATGATTATACAGTTTAGCTATTCTTGGTGTTCTTTTTATATTTACATTACAGTTAAAATCAAAGGAAAGGACGCAGTGGTCGCTTTTTCCAAGCGGGCTCATATACTCTAAGTTTGAAATCATCTCTTCTTCGTTTGTAATTACTAAATCCAGGGTATGTGGGGTGTCAGCTCCTCTCCATCGTGTAGGTTATCTTGAAACCATTGATTTAAATTCTCAATCGTGAGTTTTACGGTTAATCATGTAAGGAAGCATGCAGCAATGAGTATTATAAGTGTTTATATCATATGGAAAGGAGTATACTCAGAAAAGCTTTGAGCTAACGAGTCTGCCAAAACTTAGACATCAAACAATCAATCCATGAAATTGTCGTTCTTCATTTCCAACAAACAAACAGAAGAAGGTATTGACTTACATGAAACAAGTATCTTTTTTCCATCCGCAAAATTGTCCTTAGATAAATTCCGAAATTTCGAGCGTTCAAGAAGCCTGGGACATAATATATTGATATTTCTAGAAGGAGATAAACCGTGAAATCAGTATTGATTTAATACCATGCATGTTACTGCAACGAAGCGGGATGCAACAAAATAAACTATATTGAAATAGAGAGGATCAACGTGTTTTTTTAAAAGACTATCCTTAGTCCACATGGATCCAATCCATGAACTATTTAGAAGGCAATTATCATGGTACACCTAACAGCTTATTTAACCCTTGGACATAATATATTGTTAGTATACTATTCCCAGTTTAACCTGAATGAAAGTGACCGTAATTACCGATTGAATGATTTGTGTGCATTATTTCACAATAAATAAAGGATATGTGGTATGATTGTCAATGAAGTAACTATCCAATTGAGTCCAAATGACCGTATATTATAAACATATCAGTTTAGTCCGTTGAGGTAAGGTTTTGCAGGGCGGATCGAGCCATTTTTAAAAGGGGGGGGGGGGGGGGGTTCCAACCCAGGATAAAGGGGGGTTCCAACCATATGTCCCCATTCAAAAGCATTGATCGTCAAAAAGGGGGGGGGTTCCAACCCCCGGAACCCCCCAACCCCCTGGATCAGTAGATGAAATATGCCATATGTGTTTTATTGTTAGTAGCTAGGTCAATAAATTCGCACAACAGTTTCTTTCTTTTGAATTAAATTTTAAAAGGCATTAGCTACGAATAAGACTAAAAATTAAAATATGAATTTTTGTTGGTTCAAACATTTATAAACGGAACTTAGAAATAATATTTTGCTATAATATAGTTAGTTAGGTTCAATTTCGTCAAAATAAGATGAAAAAAAACACCATCGCTACTTTATTATTGGCTTGCAGGTCAATTAGTCCAT